AGTCAGATTTTTAAAAATCTTATTCTTTCCACTGAAACTCGTGTTCAGCTGACTCTCAGGTGGATTTAATCTACTTATTCAAGGCTTTTGTACAAACTTGTGGAGTTCATGCCAGCTCAAGTGCACGCTGTCATTAAAGCAAAAGGGGGACGTACCCAATTCTAAAAAATTCTCAAATTTATGTAAATATTTGAAGATTCTACTTTTCACTCAAATTGTTATGCTGATAATATCATTTGTGATGAAAACAATTATATTAAATTAGAAAGGAAAGCAAAATAGAGGCATATTCACCAGACTGTTGGACCCCACTGTATAAGAGAGGCCTAATGCTACACATGAACACTGGATAAGCTTTAAGGTTGTCAAGAGACAAGTTTCAGATATTGAGCCAGATATTGCTCTCCTTGGGGACTTTTCGCCTCGGGATAAAAAGAACATTGAGGAAATGATGAGCTCTGTGCCAGATAACGATATCTCCATTTAGGATCAACAAGCTCAACCCCTGAAATATGGTGGTTCTAGCAGATGCCGGAATTGAAGTGAAGTTTTTAATCTTGCCTCGTCTTGCCTCGAGATGGGAGATATTTGGCAGAGCACCACATAAGAAATCTGGAGTCCACTGAAAGGAAGTTGATCTGCAAGCGTTCCTAAGTGGCCACCTGTTTCTAGGCTCGTTGAGTTTTGGCACCATTTGGGATAAATACTTCTCAACGTCTTATTATGCTTATACAGAGACCACTCAGACCAAATTCATTTACATAAATTGAGGTCATCAGACCTGACATCTGCACAAACTAATTCATCCTCAGCACCTGCTTTGAAGCAATACTGGCCTCTTAGGAGAGATTTCACAACTATATTGGTAGCATAATTGCAGCAAATTGGGCTGCACATGCACTCAGAATGCAGCGAATTTGAGGATAATCACTGACAAGATCTGTGAGGAATCAGCAGATGCAGCTCTAGTTCTGCCCTTCTGCAGGACTAAACTGCTTATTAGCTTATTAATAATGATATTAGTCTGATATGTCTTACATAAAGCTACAGCACTGTGCAAAAGTCAGAGACCACCATTCCTTTCTTAATATTCAGTCAAAATGGCCATTAAGTACAAGCCTAAACTAAACATCATAATGTATTTAATGTTTACACTTTTTACCTTTATTACAGCTTCTTTTCAGGAGACTCGCTTTCTGAAGGGATATTTTTACACACTTCCAAAGTTCAGTCTTAGAAGTTGGTTGAATTTCTCAAGATCCAAGTGATCCCAAACATACTCAGTGATGTTGAGGTCTGGACTTTGGGGTGATCAGTCCACTGTTTTGAAAACATCAGCTTCTTTGTTTGAGTTGAAAACTGTACTTTTTTGTCTGTTGTCTTTTTTCTCAGAAGGGCCTTCTTGACATCTACACATCCTATCAGACTCTTCTCAGAAATGTCTTCTGAAAATGAAGAACTTGCACTTAATGGCAGTTAAATAAAGGGGGATCTCTGACTTTTACAGTGTTAACTGCTGCAGATGAAACTGTACAGAAATCAACTAATGAATCTGAGCAGTACAGAAGTGAATTAAGGGAGAATTCCATTATTTATTCAAAATGTGGGCATAATTAAAGTCCAAAATGACCAGGTAACATATGTGTCTTCTTTGTGTGTGGATGTAATGTTGATCATGGTAAAATAGTGGTAAATCTGAGAAATATTTTGTCCTGTTTTGTCTTACAACTGCCTGCATGTGCGCTGCACATAAAAAATACATTTCAGGCCAAAAGCTTATCTCACAACTAAACTACTACAACAATGTCTTTGGCACCAGACAGCTAATTACAAACCGTTAAATATATTAACTCTCTATGAGCTTTTAGAGCATGTGTCAGACTTCAGTCCTCACAGGCCACAGCACTGCAGACCTCAGCATTCTGCATCATAAAACACACCTGATTCAACTTATCAGCCAGTAAGGAAGAGTTGAATTCATAGTGTTAGGAGAGGAAAATCTCTGTGGAGCTCTGGCCTGAAGGGAACTTAGTTTGACATGTCTGTTTTAGAGGCATTAAACTCCTCAGACATCCTATCACCATCACTGTAAACAATTCTGACTCCGTTAGTTTCTCTAGAACAGAGCATTTCACAACAAACCACTCTGAATGACTTTCTCCATATCTTAATGATTGAATTTTGTAAACGTTTGGAAAATGCAGTGGATTTCCCCTTTAAGTTGGCATGACAAAGTTATCTTGCTGTTATATTTCCTCTTATTATTATTATTACGATCTAAAGCCTATATCTGCATTTTGTACATCCTCCCATCCTCCCATTTTCATCCTCCCATCTTCTCATAGAAATCCACTGATATTCATACTCCTTGGATTTTTGGAAGTCCAAGCAAGCAAATCTGGAACAACAACCCAACTGATGATGCAAAGCACATAACTGCATTTCATGCTGATAGCACTTTTCAGTCTAACTTGCTATTCTTTCTTTCATCCCTCCGTCATCCCATAGGCAACCATTAATTTCACTACTTCTTGAATATTCAAAATACAACCACCACATCAGTTGCTGACCAGAAGCAAATGACTGCATTTTTTTGCAGCCAGTAAATTTGTTAGAAGAATTTAACTCTTGATGGGGAGCACATAATTGCACTTTTTTTTTTTTCATCATTTTATCCTCCCACAGAAACCCATTCATTGTGATACTCTTTGAATTTTCCAGCTAGATCCATCAAGCTTAATGTGGATTTAACTAAGCCAAAGCCCATAACTGCATTTCATACTAATACACTCAACTATCTAACCTTGCTATGTTCTTTTTCATCCCTCCATCCTTTCATAGACACCCACTGATTTTGATCATCCTTGAATGGTCGAGCTGGAGCCATCAAACCAGGTAGAAAGATTCTAATGACCAAAAGGCAAACGACTAAACCTTCTTGCTGAAAGCACTCAACTTTTTAACCATGTTATCCTCTTTAATCATTCAATCATCTCATACAAATCCACTAATGTCAAAAGATCAAACAACAACTTTTTTTGTCTTTTTTAACACAAAGCTGACCCCACACTGTAAACACTACACTCTTAAAAAATGATCCTTCAAGGGTACTTAACTAAAGTCAATAGTTCTATATAGAACCATAAACACACATTTGCATGCCGTAATTGTTCTTTAAGCTTTAGGTCTATATAGAACAGTTGTCTTACTAAAGAATCTCTTGAAGAACCATCTTTTTAAAGAGTGGAAATCACTATTTTTGATGTGTTGTGTTTTCATATGAGTATTATTTATATAGTAAGGTGGAGTGGGACATGAGACATGGATCCTTAAACTCTCTCTCACATCCAATTTATGTCCAGTAACCTCTTTTAATTAGTGAATTCAGTTATTTACAGTGCATCCATTGCTGACACATGCGATCAGTTGTGCAGCTAGAAAAGCATTGGCAAAAGAATTGAACACTCTGGAACAGCAGCACATGAGCTTAAGTTCACCAAGCCCAATGCTAAGTGTCAGCTAGAGGGGTATAAAGCCACCCAGCTTTGGGCTGTGGAGCAGTGAAACTGTGTTCTCTGAAATGACTTTGAAATGATGAGTTCCATACAATATCTTTGGGATGAGTTGGAGAAGCTGCTACTGCAGGAAAGGGGTCAAACTCTCTTTTAATACCCTTGATTTCAGAAGAAACGTTGGACAATCAGGTGACTACAAACTTTTGGACATAATTGGCTGGTTTTGTGGGTTTTCTATCTTAAAAATAGATGGTTTTCCAAGGGTTCTTTAGTAAGGGAAATGGTTCTATTTAGAACCATGAGTTCTACATAGAACCATTTTCAATATAGAATCATATGCAACACATTCTTCATCAATCTGAAGAACTATTTCACCATGCAAAGAACCATTTAAGCATGAAATGGTTCTTCAGATTGATGAAGAATGTGTTGCATATGATTCTATATTGAAAATGGTTCTATATAGCACCAAAAAGAGTTCTGCCATGTTATGATGGTTCTATTTAGAACCATGAGTTCTATATAGAACCATTTCATGCTTAAATGGTTCTTTGTGTGGTAAAATGACTCTTCAGATTGATGGGGAATGTGTTGCATGTGATTATATATAGAACCTCTTTAAAAATGGTTCTATATAGCACCAAAAAGGGTTCTGCTGTTGTTGTGATGGCTCTATTTAGAACCAGTACTAGATAGAACAATTTCAGGCGTAAATGGTTCTTTATATGGTGAAATCATTCTTCAGATTGATTGAGAATGTGTTGTATATGTTTCTATACAGAACCTTTTTGAAAATGGTTCTACATAGCACCAAAAAGGGCTATGTTATTGTTATGATGGCTCTATTTAGAACCATGATATCTAGATAGAACCATTTCATGCCCAAATGGTTCTTTGCATTGTGGAATGGTTCTTCAGATTGATGGAGAATGTGTTGTATATGTTTCTATATAGAATCTTTGTAAAAATGTTTCTACACGGCATCAAAAAGGTTCTTCTACTGTTACAATGTCAAGCTTTAAACAATAGAAGAACCCTTTTTGGTGCTATATAGAACCAGAAACAACACATTTTCCATCAGTCTGAAGAACCATTTTATCAGGGAGAGAACCATTTAAGCATTAAGTGGTTCTATATAGAACACGTGGTTCTAAATAGAACCATTGCCTTTATTAAAGAACCCTGAAAGAACCATCATGTTTGAGAGTGTAGTGTAGGACTAAGCTGCAGCGTCAGTGGTGTTTTATTCTATCTAGTCCTGGGCTTAAACGAGGTCTGGGAAACTGACCCAACCTTGAATTGGTCTCATTGGGAACATAACGGTCCTCACATCGCCACACCTGCTTTAGGAGCACAACTCTCGCACATAAAAGGACTTGAATTTGCAACTCGTAGGTAGAAGTGAAAGGTGGTGCGTGTGCGTAAGTGTGTGTGCTGAGCTCCTCTCCCTCCCTCTCTCTCCCTCTCTCTCTCCTCCCCGGGCAGAGGCAGCGCGCTCCTCTCTGCTGTGCGCTCCGCTCTCCAGAGCAGCGCTGCCGGAGGATCCACTCGCAGCGCGCAGCTCTTTCTGGATGGATTTCTGCTTAGCCCCCCAAATGGCTCTCCCGCGACCCCGCGCAGCCTCTTCAGACCTCGCGCGCCAGTGACGTACGCTGCTGTGCCCCTCCCCGCGCCTTCTTATGTGTTTCTTCTTTTTTTTTCTTTTTTGGTTTCTTTTTAAACCCCCGCTTTAAACTTTAAATGCCCCGTCCTCAGCGCGCTCCCGCTGCGGGGCCATGCTGAGCCACCGCCGCGCGGCTCCTCTGCTGCTGGCTCTCAGCGCGCTCACCATCGCCGGACTGGCGCGCGCCTGGAGCGACGACGACCTGCTGCTGCCGCCCGTTAACTCCACCGCGCGCTTCCTGGCCAACCTGGAGGTGGACGTGGCTTACGCGAGAGGCTCCTCCACCTCGGCTGCTTCTTCCACCTCCTCCTCTTCCTCCTCTTCCTCCACCTCCTCCACCGCGACATCCTCCGGCGCGTGCAACGTGAGTGTGGAGCGGCTGCCCGCGCGGCTGGTGGCGCGCTGGGACGGCGCGGTGGGCTTCCGCTGCGACGTGCTCGTCTACACGACCAACACGCACGGCAAAGCGTTCTTCTCGGCCGCCTTCAGCCGCGCCGTCTCGCCCGTCTTTATCGAGCACGTGGGGCTCGCGGGCGGTCAGCAGGAGCTGCGGCTCTGCGTGGGCTGCGGCGGCGCGGGAGGAGCCCGGCAGCACCGGAGAGCCGGCGCCGTGCGCTTCTGCTGCCTGGACTTCGCCCTGGACGAGCTGAAGGGGGACCGGAGCTGGAGGCTGAACCGCAAGCCCATCGAGTCGACCCTCGTGGCGTGTTTCATGACTCTGGTCATCATCGTGTGGAGCGTTGCTGCCCTCATCTGGCCGGTGCCCATCATCGCGGGCTTCCTACCCAACGGCATGGAGCAGAGAAGACCCCGATAAGGGGAAGATGCGTTAAAGGGGCTCACCGGGCCAACAGGCTGCTTCGGCGTGTAGGATACTTTGTGAAATAGTGAAATTATGATGTTTAAAGATGAAGGAAAACATGTTATTCTTTCTAAAAATCGATTCAATGTGAATACGCGTGGACTGAGCTATTCTACTAGCCTAGCTGGGATTTGTTTTATAAATCTATTAACTAGAGTAAAATAGCCTGTTCTGTTTCATTCAGGTGTCCCTTCAAATGTTTGTAACGTTTTTTTATTATCTTGAAATCTCTTAAAGTTTGTCGAGACACGTTTTTTAAGCATTAGCACTAACCGAGTGAGAATTTAGAAAAATGAGCAAACCTGTTTTGTATTGTTGTTGCCTACTGTAAGCCTAAAGGCCAGCTTATCACACCTGTATTTGTAAGAGCTAATAAAATGTGATTAGAAGGTTAACTTGTGGAAAATACTCGTGTTTTAAGGCGGAACGGTGTTTTGACGAATTGTGCTACCTTGTCGAAATGTCCTACCGTACCGCATATTTTTAGGTAGCGCCCTACATAAAATCTAAAAGTAGAATAATTTGATAGCTTAAATCTCCTTATCAGAAAACGTTATCAGCATTAAAAAACGTATTAGGTCAACAATCAAACGTATTTGATCGCCTAAATCACCATGTCAGGGAGTAAGTAATAATATAACGCTGAATCTGTGCGGAATTAACATTTAAAACACAATAAGACATTCGAAACATTGTCACTATACTATAGTAATCATTTTTGCGCATGCTCAGTAAGGCCACTAGATGGGTAGGTCATTGTTAGAAAACCGAACTAAGCAGATACAGTTAAAGCCCAACGTTACTGTAGATTTGATGGTTTGTTTCACCAATATTCACCCATATTTCTACGTAACTAAATCGCTGAGTTGTAAACAAAGTCCTTCAGAGTGGTTGGATGTGAAATTGTACGTTATGGAGAAATTTATCACCTCAGGTTTGTTTACAGTGGTGCTGATAGGAACCAGGGGTCACAATGTCTACAACACAAATACAGCCATTTCATTTACTCTCCAAAACTACCAGCGAATCTGAGTTTTTATGTGTAATAATGCTAAAATAGTGGTAAATATACAAACATACGTTTTCTTTGTGGGCTATATTGCCTTGTAACTGCGGGCATTTTGTGGACTATTGGGGGTACATGTGAAATGTGGGCCTTATCGCCTGACATCTCGCATGTACACTCCCAGGAATAAAGGTGCTAAACTGTCACTGGGGCAGTACCCCTCTTGTCACTGGGGTGGTACCCTCAAGGGTACATCTCAGTATGTTTAGTCAGGGAACATAACTGTACCATAATCAATTTAAAATTATATTAATTTATAAGTTGTATTGACTCCACACCCCCTCTCGTATCCAGGCTTTTTATTTTATTGTTCTGTTTTAAAACATTAGGTTATGAACAGGTATAAATATGTACTTTTCACCTGCAAAAAAACTATTTAAGGTTCACAGTTGTACCTTTGAGGGGACATTTACATTATTTGTACCTTGATGAACGAAAATGTACCTGCACAGTACCTTTATCTCTAACAGTGTACCCCTCCGCCATGAATGGATTTAAAAATACGTTTTAGACCAAAATCATCTCTCAAAACTACAGTAAAAAGTGTTTTGGCATCAGCCAGCATATTTGTAACCATTCTGAGCAACAGTTTTTTGTGCTGGAGGCATTATAGTTCCTATCATCACCATGGTGAGTCAATGAAAAATCGATAGAATTTCCTTTTACAAAGGAAAATCGTCTCACTTCCCATTAGTATCGAGAGGGTGGAGACTGAGCCTACCTGAGAGAGAGAGCGAGCGAGCGAGAGCGAGCTAAGCTAACTTCTTCAGTCCAGGAAGTGAACTCTCTCAGGAGAGAGATAAGGTTTCACTTCAGCTTCAATGGCTCAGTTTTAAAGCTTCGTTCAGTCATACTGAGCTACAGGGAGCAGAAAAAAACAATGCGGAGTTTCAGCCTCGTTTTTCTTCTGTCTGGAGTTCTGCAGTGGATCCCAGTCTCAGGTAAATCGCCTTTATCCTCTACTGTCCCCAGCAGCGCTGCTGGCCGTCACGCTCTGCTGCTGCTGCTCAGCCGACCGCAGGCCACCGGAGACTAATGAGGGCCATGATCCTGTTCGTTGGGAACAGCCTGCTTGTTATAATTGCTATATAAGTGCTCATATCTAAAACACTGTGCTTTAGTTCTTTATCCTGTTCAATATTAATCCTGTATCAGTGTTTAATGAAGGCTCGTCTGCCACTAACAGCCTAAATCACCACAGAGAGGGAGGGAGTCAAGTTAGAGGTCAGTTTAGGAAGTTTATAGCTGGCTTCCATGAAGACGAGCTACTCATCTTGAACTGGGCCTAAACAATATACAGCCAGGTTAAATTTAATAAAATGGAAGGTTAATCTCTTCCTCTACTGTGATTTTATCATCCACTCACTGCTAGAGATAATCTGAAACGTCATTCTGAAGGCAGCTATTGTATCTATAAACCACAATGGATTGTTGTACGGATCTTTAGTGTTTTTTTATTGGTGTCAGGACAGACAGTGGGTCAGTGGCTCCAGGAAGTATTTGGACTTTTGTGCTATGCTTAAATATGTGTTAAGTTCATTGTGTTAGGAAACAAAATGCTAAATCGAGTGACATGAATTTTAAACAGACCATTCCAAGGCTGTAAATTTGCTTTGGGCAAAGTAATTATTCAGAAGGCAGCTGCTTCAGATTGTTATCGCTTAAGGAGTTTCTTTGCAGGCTTCTCCAGGCTTGCATCCGAAATGTCTTCATACACTTCTGAGTTTGTGATCACATCAGTGAATACAAGCTCATTGACACCACTGTAAAAAAAACAAAAAAAACAAAAAAAAACAAACAAACAAACATTACAGTAGCCTCTGTCTAGTTTGGTAGGAATTCTTCATCAATTATTATTTTGTTAAACATTTTTAAAAATCTCACCTGAAGAACTTAATTAAAGGGGAATTCTATCTTTTTTTTTCCTCGTTTTTTTTTTTTAATTTTCTGCATAATTCAGTGGTTAAAATATAAACAAAGTCCTTCAGAGTGGTTTGGTGTTCTAGAGAAACTTGCTGAGTTGTTTATAGTGGAGATGATAGGAATCAGACAAAGGAAATGTTTAAGGTCACTAAAAGCAACAACTCAGAAAGTTATTACATTAAAGGCTTTCAAACACATCATCTGATGCGTGGCACGCTGCTTTACAACAACTCTGCAATTAATTGTTAACCTAAGTGTATTTTCTAAAATGCATCCAGGGTGGAGGCATTCATGAGGCCTCTGCAAGGAAAATAGTACCCTTATTTATGTATTTATCATTACTATTTATCATTACCAGTTTCACAGGTGTAGGTTCACTGGTCATTTTAGATAGTAAATAAAGTGGCTGTATTTGAGTTGTAGACCCTGACCCCTGGATCTTATCTGTACCACTGTTAAGAGATCTGAGCGGGTATGTTTCTCTGTCATGAACCACACCAGACCACTCTGAATGACACTCTTTACATGCCAGCAATTTAATTATGTGTCAGTTTAAAAAAATTGGTGAAGTTCTGTTTTAAAGTATTTAGTTTTTGGGGCTGCTGTATATACTCCGAAAGAACTCTCTGAATTCATAAACTCTTTTAGACTTTTCGTATTAAGCATTCCAACCACTAATATACAGTCATGTGCAAAAGTCACATGACATGGTTTATTGATTTAAGTGTAAGTTAACATATTCTCTACAGAGAGCACACTTCTGCACAGATGCACCATTGCTGTTTATTTACTGAATTGAACATGTTGGCGAAATAAATAAAAATTTCATATTAAAATTAGCAGAAGCATAGCATATTTAAGATGCCTGTAAAGGAACTTATTTCCAAATATGAATACAGCAAAACATGTAATTTCACCAGGGTGTTCAAACTTTTGAATAGAACTGTATCTCTTAGGACACCAGACAGTTACATATTTTGCTTGTTATTTGTGAAGAAGATGTTCCTTTTTGGATAAAGTGCATTTCTGTTACTAAAGAATACAAAATATCTCTTTAAAAATTCAGTACTCGTGTTTGCTTTTACCATTTTTTAAAGAGTTCTGCTACATTTGTTGGAGTAATTTAATACAAGTTGTATTGAGAGGATTTTGGCCTATAGAGACATGATGTCATGGCCTGTCATCCAGTTTGTGCTGTAGGCTAAACAGACAGGCCGTCAGAGGCTTAAGAGGAGATTACTTTTATTCATCACATAAATCTGTTTATACATATCACATTACAGCACAAAGGCCCATTTCTAAAAATTAAGACATCATACAAGACTTAAAACTGCTTTCTGGAAATATGATAAAGAGTGTTCTACAAACAACACTGAATTATACTCTTCATGACTACAGACCAAGCCTTAATGAAAAAGTTTAAAAATATTTAAAGAATGAATCAACCAGCAGACACAGATTTGCTCACATGGATGCATCACAGATGCTAGGAACTGTTTACTTAAGGAAACCACAACAGATGTTCTAGATTGTGATTTGTGATTTATGACACGGTGTGGTTGTTCTTAGGGTGGTGCTATGGCTCACTTTTGGGAAATACAGTTAGACATAAGTGGAAGCACAGTGAATGAGCCCCTGAAATAAATATAATTCTGTTGACAGTTATACGTGCAGTTCATTCAAAAATCTGAAAAAAATTATTTACAGGACCATTTCTGCTTGCCTTCCCACAATGAACTGTGTGGCATCTTGCGTTGTCTTGTTGGAATATCCGTCATGTGTTATGGTTTACCCCTTGTACAGGGAAATTCCACCAATTTTTTGAAAAATTCTATGTAATTCAATGATTGAGATGTAACAGATTCATTCAGCCTGGTTTGATATGAAATGGTTCATTATAAAGAAACGTACTGACTCTGATTCTTCTTTACAGTGGTGGTGAAATAGTGGTAAAAAATCTAAGGGGAAAATAAAAAAAATTCTGTCTTGTTTTTCCTTTACAGTGCCCTGCATGTATCTTTCCACCATGAACATAAAAAAAAAATCATAATAAATGTAAACATAAAGAAAAAAATGAAGGTTTTGTGCCAAAACTTTATTGTAAAACTATTGCAAAACACGCGGGTATCAGGCAGGTAGTCATAACATTTCATGTAATAACTTTTTGAGGCATTAAAAGCTTTAGACGTCTTGCCCCCCAATTCCGACCACCGCAAACAGTCCTGAATTGGTGCATTTCTCCGGAACAAAGCACATCAAATTACTCCTTATGACATTATTTACATTTTAAACATTGAATCATGCAGAAATGTGTGATCACATATGAGCATGTGAGCAACTGGCAGTTTATTATGGGCAGTGGGAATAGAAGGGATGTAGAGGTCTGTGTTGTTTTAATGTATATTCTGATGCCTTAAGTCTCTTTGTGGCCTGAAATATAGAAGAAACAGTTGGGAAGATGGAGGATGTGACTAAACATCACGGAAACACGATGAGTGTGTTGGATCTTAGTAGTATGAGGAGTGCAGTCATTGTCTTTGACTCAAACTTGAGTTGTTTCTTAGACCAGAGGGATATGAGGCATAATATCCATTCTAGACACTACTGTAGAGGTCCTTGAGATCTGTTTTTTCTGGTTCTAATAAATGTGTTTTTGGGTTTTCTTCAGGGAATGTGGCACTCACCTTAAACCCTCTCAGTGGTGCCACCATCCACATCAACAGAAGTGAGACTGCACAGTCAAAGTGTGAAGTTTGTATTGGAAAGTTGTGCCAGCCCTCTGTGGCTCTCATAAAAAACACAGAGGTGGTATTCAACTGTGCACAACCAGAGGACATCTTTACAGTGGAGATTGTTAAACAAATCGGTAGGCCATGCCAATAATATTCCAACTAGGTCTGCATTACATCATCAATCGTTATTGGGGTATTATCCTTTATAATACTGTTATCAGAGACAGCTGCAATGTACACATTTGTGAGAAATCACAAATGGTTTACTATGTACTGTAAAAGTATGAATTTATGTGGCTGACTTTCTGATGTTTAAGTGATCACTTACTGTTGCATTTTCCCCCAGTATGTTCCAAGACATGCAATGGGAGTATCACCTCAGAGGAGTACCCTTCTCTACAAAACTTCAGCCGCACATTCACTTGGAATGTGGTCACCCAAGTCCAGAAGGCTCTCAGCTTGAACTTCACCAAAGCTGGTTTAAGGCAGATCCGACCCACAGAGAGCTGTCGAGACAAACATGTCTACACAGTCTCCACAGGCAGGACCACACTGGGGAGATTTTGTCGCCATGGGAGCATCAAAAGGATGAAGGTGGCTAACGAAGGGAGTGTGTCTTTGCAGGTGCCTGGAAAAGGACAGCTGGACCCAACAACCTTTGACATTTCAGTGGGAGATCACATACCATGTAATTAAGTGTTACTACTATGCAGCTAAAACTTTCAGTGAAATAACAGGAATGAAGTGAAGGACTAGAAAGCAAGTAGAACCAATGTCATCCCCATTTGAACTGAATTAGTTTTATGTGAGGAGATGCTGTAATTTGTTTGGCTACCGACAAGCTCTGTCATTTTAATCCAGTACAAATCTGCAACGTCTGCAGTTTTTAGAAGTCTGCTAAAAAATAACAACTAACAGCACCACCTCTTTATCTAGCGGTGGAAGACAAAACCAACCTATAAAATGCAGCTTGACTTGCCACAGTTCCTTTATCCTCATGTTAAAAAATGAACAGTTTTTTAGGGAAAATAAAAGAGAAAATGAAATATCTTGACAATACGAAGAGTCACAAAGAGGCCAGACTGAAACGCCACAGCTCGGATGTACGTATCACTCAATAACAATAACAACATGGCACATGACCTTGTCTGTTGCCTGGTTTAGTTATTACATTACTGTGAGGTCAATTTGTGTAGGACTGGCTTTGCTGAGGGAGCTCCATGTTTATTCAGTCTGGCGTTATTACTTACATATTTGTAAATACTACTGACATTGCATTTGTACCAGATTGAAGCCACAAATATCGTCGGATGTCACTTATATTAGAGCACTTCCCCAGATAAAACTACATCAGCTTGAATGGAGCACATGCTTAGTTTATTTGTCATTTTCTGCATATATATATATATATATATATATATATATATATATATATATATATATACAAACACATACCCTTGTATCTCCAAAATGGTAACTTTACACTTTACAGGAGAAGGCAATTTTGAATTACATCAAAAACTGAAAAAAACTGGTTTTGTTCTGACAGCAGCGATATATATATATATATATATGTTTGTGTGTGTATGAGTGTGTGTGTATTGATTATATATAGATTATATATCCATATATATATATATTACAGATATACATGCACACACACACACATATATCAATCAATAGATAGATAGATAGATATGTATATAATCTCTGTGTTCACTGTTCTACAGTGCTTGCGATTATCAAAGTGAGCCTGCCAGAGGAAGAATCATCACAGGAATTCCTCTCCCCAAACTACCCGGACAGCTTTCCTGATTATGATTTAGTGACATGGTCCTTCAAAGTCCCTCTTAAATACTACACAACAGTGCGCATTCAAAACTACACTGATCCCAAGTGCCAGAGGAAGGATGCGCGACTGGAGTACCAGTTGTTTACCAAGACAGTGGTGAAAAAACTGAGTGACCCCCAGCTGTCTGAGTACCAGGGCTCCTTCAACCTTTCCCTGCAGAACTGTCTGATGCAGCCCTCCTCTGCTCTCTCGCTGCATTTCAACATCTCTGCTGTCAAGAGAGCCAGTGAAGGTTTGTACCAAGCTCTTTACTTTTGTTTATACTGCCTGTAGGTTTGTGATAAATGTTCCACTTTACAGAGATATCTGCACACAGTGACTAAACCAAACAGTCAATTTAGAGTTGGAGCTTTTCAGAACTTTTTTTATACACATCCAATGAACAAGCTCTGCAGTTTATGAAGTCATGTCATTAGCAGTGCAGGTGACACTTGAAAACAAGGGGTGGGGTAAAAATAAGAAATGGGAAGTGTGCCACGCCATGTTCTTAAAAAAAATGTGCTCTTTATATGGTTTTAGCAAATAAGGCAAAATATCTTGAAAGCAATATAGTTTTTAACTATAAATTTGCAAGTTAAACTCAATGAACTGTATAATTCTACAGCGATTAATTGTGTCCCTGTGTTTTAGTCTCAGAGCTTTTAATGTCAGTGTACCATAATTTCTCGCCCTGTTTAAAACCACAATTTTTTTTTTTCCTGGAGAGCACTGCTTTGATTTCTAAACTCGTCTCCTTTTTCACTGCTCATGAGTATACATGCTCAAACAGTATAACAGGCACTGTTGACCTGCTTTTTTGCTAAACCAAGCACAGATTTGCTGTTGAGGGGTGTAGTAATGACTCACATAGATGGCTCAAGTTCCTGTTGGCTCTTCATGAGGGTAATTTTGGAAAACCCTTGTTTTATGACTCAGTTGTTAGGAAAATAACCAGAAACCACACCCTTTACTTTAAGCAAACACTGTCTTGTTGGTTAATGAACAATGAACAGCTGACTCCTCTGCATTTTGGAAGCAATTATCAAATGTTTACATATGCTATATGTCCAGAAGTTTGTGGACACCTCCTAATTCAGTGTTTTCTCTGAAATGAGGGGTATTGATAGGGACTTTTGTTCCACTTTGCTGCAGTAACAGCCTCTACTCTCTTTACTCTAGATTGCACTCAAATCCTCATATTGCTGTGAGAATTTGAGTGCATTCAGCCACAAGAGCATTAGTGAGGTCAGGCACTGATGTTGGATGATCAGTTCTGGATGACAAACTCTAGCTCAGTCCAAAAGTATTGGATGGAGCTCTATCACTCCAGAGAACACAATTCCACTGCTCCACAGGCCAGTGCTGGGGGTCTTTACATCCCTCTTGCTGACGCTTGGCACTGGTCATGGTGACCTTAGGTTGATGTGCAGCTGCTTCAGAGCATAGCATTCTATTGGCAGCACTTTCCTATGGGGGTTATACAAGCTGTGTGCACAACTGAATGCTTGTAAACAAGTCTTTTGCAAAGTACACTGTATATAGGACCTTCAGGGGTAAAAACCTTTGTGCGCACCATAAAGTACCATAGAGTGCCTGGGTACTTTTTGTCAGATAGTGTATCAAAAATGTTTTTTCTGCTTTTCATATCATATCATGTTACTGGCTTACTGGTTGTCAATCTTCATTTGTCTCATTTGCAGTGCGGTGTAGCGTAGATCTGAGGAAGGAGAAAGGGCTGCAGATACATATAAGGAAAAAGAAACCAACATCAGCCTGCGTCTTAAAACTGAATTCACAGATCCAGGAGACAGTCACAATCTTTTCGCCAAAGATGTCATACCTCTCATTCTATGACTGCCCAGAGGAGGACCTGCTGTTAAACATAAACCAAACCATAGGTAGGAGCTTGAGGCCAACCATAAACCAAATCTGTTAATGCATGTTAACCTGAAGATGGAAATACAGCTGCATTCATTTTGGAATATAATTTTTTGGCCAAAACAAATTCATAGGCTATTTTCAGGCATTTTTTGTTTGTTTTTGTTCTCTATATTTCACTACTACTATGTAAATAGTTCCTCCAGTGACATTTCTGTACTCTGTGCATTAAAAAAAAAAGTCTGAATGGTTCCAGAATAATCACATGGAATCAAACTTCAGATGTCATGATGCATTCGCTTGTGTCTTAAAGAGTCGTAAACTAATTAGAGATTTTACACCTCTGTAATCAACGTTTATTTCATGTATGAGTAGTAATTGAATTTCTGGTTATCTCTTATCCGCAGCCTGTCAGCAGCAAGCAGACTGTGCATCCCCTGAATTCTCTCTAAGGGTCCCTGTGCTAGAGAAGTGTCTCCTGGGAGTTCTGCAGCAAGTCATTTGGCACCTGTACGTCCCACAGCATGGCGCAGTGGAGCTGATGTCTCCCTTGGGCAGCCTGCAGCAGTCTCTGCCTGGCCAGACGTGCAACAGCAGCGTACTTCTCACCATGACTGAACATGAGCAAGGGGACGTCACTGTTGGGCGGTTTTGTCCTCAGGGGCCCATTCACAAAGTGCAGATCCGATCCAACATCACAGTGACTGCCTCCCCTGTGGACGGCAATGATCTGCGGCAGATAACATATGCCCTTTTAAAGGGTTCTTTCATGGAAACAATAAATGGTAAACAAACCCCACAGAAGTTACATTGAGTTGCTAGTTTATTAAGTACACCTACCTTGTACCTTGTGCATGTTGGTGTCACTGCTGGGTCCCCCAGTCAAAAATAGCCAGGCAGTAGTGTTCGTAGAAGATGACTAAGTGTTCCTAGAAGATGACTAAGACAAATTGTCCATTGAAAAGGATTGACTCTACAGTGTACTAATGTGGTAGGTGTGTCAAAGCAAAGAATACACCGATATGGGAATTGAGCTGATGGCAATGTCTGATATTTTCCATGCTGATGCTGATATGTAATTATTATAGAAACTGGAACCATATCGACCTGGATTAGAACGACACAGAAGTGTACGATTTATTATAAGGTTAATCAGTGCAGTAAAATAAGTGAAATGAAGATATTTTAGCACAGTAGTCCAACATCACTTTTTGTCTGATCAGTCTGATGCCATTAACTAGCAATTAAAATATCGATATGATTCAATATCATAGCGCATCCCTGTGCTTGATACACTCATACCAGCACGACACACACTAATATGTCACTACCATGATGGTGTCACTGCTGTGCCGTGAATGGTCTCCCATTCAGCAGTGGTGCTTTAATGATACCTTTCTATTGGTGAATGGGTACAGGGTGGATGGATATATTAGGCAGCAACAGATGTGCTATGGTCAGTAAACCTACAAACTGAACCTACAATACTGTGCAGAAGTCAGACAATACCCTTCCTTTAAGTAATTCCCACAGAAATGACCATGAAGTATTTTATTCATCTTTCAGGAGATATTTCTGAGGAGATTAGATACAAGATTAGATACAATCAACTTGCATATGGAAAAAGAAAAGCAAAGGAAAATAAGTGGAAAAAAACAAGAGTTGCAAAACTGGAGCTTAAAAAAATGATCAAAAGATACAGAGATAATGGGACTGTGATATACCTTGTAGACCATTCATAGATCGTTGAATGTGTTTGAGCTCACTTGGATTGTGAGAAGCAGGAAATGGAATCAACTTCTATGAACTTTGGAGGTGTGAAACAATATTCCTGCAGTTTTGAGAGCCTCCTAAAGTCTCTTTAGAAGAATGTAAACTGTAATAAACGTAAAGAGTGGACTAAATGGCAAAGAAATGTGTTACATTTGGTTGTTGAGGCTTCTGTGTTAATTTTGTGCTTTATGGTGCTCTCTGACTTTTGCACAGTACCGTATATGTGTAGGAGGGTGTTTCTTATAAAATGGCAATTGGCAGTACCTGGAATACTGAAAACTACAATAAACAGGTAACTCAGTATAGAGTCATAGTTTATAGTATTATATTCAGATGGTTAACGCAGCACTTGCTCTCTCTTTTTTCAGAGCGCTACATTTTCACCGTCTTGCCGAAAAAGGACATGTCAGTGCTGTTGGCCACTCCAGCATGGCCGGCAGGAATGAGGCCATACTCCACTGTCTCCTGGATTGTCTCTTTTCCTTCACAGCTTGAAGCTCAAGTGGTGTTTACCAACGTCAGCCAGGTCAGTTGTCCAACTCAACACACAGGCATAAAAGTGCAGAAGCAGGGCTCCCGGGACGAGACTTACAGTTGGAGGATGGGTGAGAAGCCTAAGGATGTGGTGGTGGAAGAAAGCTTCTATCTCAATATGTCTAACTGCCGGCCGTCGAAAGGATCCTTCAGTGTGGTCAGCCAAATCACATTACTCAAGCGCAAAAGTAAGAAATCGTTAATGATCTTGTCTATATTCATTTTACTTCATTTTTCTGGCACTTAGGTGTCTATACTTTTTTTGCAGTAGCTTAAATTCTCATCATTTTTGTATAATTCAATTGTCAACACAGTTGGAAAATTCAATGTCCTTAATCTAATCAGTAACATATTCTGTTTCAATAAATTAAAAAGTAACAGATTCAGAATATGTGTAGAATACATATTGATGAGGCACATGGTGAAAAACTCTGTTGCTATAATGTTTACATAATTCCAGCAGTTTCTCGCTGTTACTAGATGGCAGTTTTGTTTATGTAATTCTTCTGTTGATATGTTTCATGAAAAATTCAAAAAGTTCTGAAATTCTCAACATTCGTCACCTACTTCAGTCCACTGCTGCTCCCACAGTCTTCTGAGCAGGAGCCTAACACTGATGCTAAGTTTATTACTCGCAAGCATTTTCACTACTGAGGAGCTAACTGACTCATATCAGCACATTGATTTATCAGTCTACTCAGGCTTTAGATTTCAGTAACACTGAGATTAATAACTGATCATCACAGCGATTTATCAGTCTACTCAGGCTTTAGCAGAGCTCAGTAACGCTGAGATTAATAACTGATCATCACAGTGATTTATCAGTCTACTCAGGCTTTAGCAGAGCTCAGTAATGCTGAGATTAATAACTGATCATCACAGTGATTTATCTAGTCTAATGTTCGTAAAGACGTTACTTGAGGTCCTATTTAGAGTTTGTCTAAAGACCATGTTTGCTACATACCATGCACTGATTTTAAAATAATAAATAAACAAGCGTCAGTGCTGTTTATTTTGAAAATGTTTTTGTTTTTTTTTTATTTAGTGGGTAAGCATTCTAAAAGTGTTCTAAAATGTAAAACGTAACTGTATTCTTAATACTGCCTTTTTTGAAATGTAACTTGGACTGAATACAGTTATTTAATGTCTATGTTCTAAATACGCATTCCCAATACTTGTATTCTGTTATATCCCTACCCTGATCATTAAGATTTGAACAAAGTCATTCAGAGTGGTTCCAGAATCAGAATTGTTTCGTAGTGGAACCATAGAGGAGCAAAACATCTGAAGTAATTAATGCATCATTACAGAAAGGTACATGTAACAAAATAGTCCCCAAAAGAAAATCTTTATTTTAACATACAAAAACAGACAGGTAGGATGACTTGTCATTTTGGATAGTAAATAAATGGCTATATTTGCATTGCAACTTCCTGTCACTACTATAAAGAAAACTGAATCGGCATCAAAAAACTCTAAAAGGATTTGCTTTTATCTCAACCATTGAATTATGCAGAAATTGTTGAAATTGTAGAAATTACAGATTAAGCATGAGTTTTTTCAAGTACACTCACAAAACACTTCTGTAAGTCACTGTGGACAAGAGCATCTGCTAAATGACACAATATAAATGATGCATTGGTAATATAACTAGCTCGTCACATGCCCAAAGCCTCATACATAGGTGGATGTACTTTAAACCTTGTATCACAGTGATGGCCAGTGATGTACGTGGAGATGATGCAATGATCTGTTTGATTTCCCGCTTTCAGACAAGATTTTGAGCATCATCCTGAGTGTTGTGAGTGTTTTGTTGGCGCTGGTGGTGGCTGTATTGGCTGTGGTCTGTATCATTAACAGGTGAGCCTTCCTCTCAAATCTCTTGATGTCATTTCAACCCTGTGTTATTCATTCTTGTTAAAAGTGAATCTTCTCTAATGATGAACAGGAAAAAGAAGAAGCAGAGAGCTTCTGAAGTTTCAGTCTACAATCCCAACGGACATGCCTTCCTACCAGGCCTCCATGGAATTCCCAAGACAACGGAGGATGAGGACGTTCACATTTATCATTGTATTGATGACACCATGGTGTATGGGCACCTTCTTAAAGACGGAACTGAAATGAATCAGTTTGAACCAGCTGTGGATTCCTACCAGGCCTTTACTGGACCCACAGACAGGCAGCCATTAACAGAGCCAGAGGTGGGAGTCTACAGACCTTTTACTGGCTCCCAAAGTGCTCCAGAAGTGCCTGAAAGAGCCCCAGGGCAGGGAGGAAACCCACCCAGTAAAGACCAGCTGATAGCTGATAAAGAGATCAATGGGGATAACTCTGTCCAGAATCAGACCAACACCACACAAGACTTACAGGCAGCTCCTATAGCACAATCTGGAGAGGAGGATTCTTAGGAGGATGAGTCCTAAAGAGTTTGAGGAAGAACACTATGTGCTAAAAGCCAGCATACAGGAGAGCATGTCAGGGCATGTTGCTGGAATTATTTTTGGTTTCATCTGGTTAAGTATGAATTGTATTTTTTCTGTTTCCTTCATTTTACCTGTGTGACTGATGGTAAGTCTTTGTCCCAATTTCAGTAGTGTTTTTTTAACATGTCCTCGACAGCTTTGACTCACCACTGCAGCACAAGAGGAGAAAGAGACAGTGAGGAGCAGATTTTTGCTAACTTTGCGATACAAAATGTTGTTTTGAGAAATTTGAACAGGACAGCTATAGAATGTGTGAATAATTGCCTTGTGGTATATAATTGTAGTGTAATGCCTTTATTTTTGTTGCTGTTAGCTGTGTCGCTTTTAGCATGCTAACTTGTGAGCTAGCAGAGTTATATCAGAAGTCATGCATGAGATGGAGTACCCACTTAAATCCCAGCAAATTGAATGTTATGATTTTGAAATATTACGCATGTTAAATGGCTCTGCCCACCATTATTTCCAGGTTTGATATGCGTCAGGTCTGATGCTTGTGGATGCTTCTGTTCACTTGACCCCTCGTCCCTCCAAGGGTGCACCTAACACCCTTCACTTGAGGTAATACACCAATGGAATGGCGCTTAAGATACAACTGTAGAGGAGAAATTGGGAGGCCAAGAGGACGAGGACTTGGTAAAAATGGTATAGAAACAGGTGGTGTGCCAAAGTGCATAGGCAGGTTCAACCTGGTTCATGCTTATACCACTATATGTTTAATTACTCTGGATTGTAAGAGAAGATATAGTTTGTTGTGAAGTGTTTGTCACAGCATTGTGAACACCTACTAGATGTCCAATAGTTTGAGGACACCTGCTCTTCCAGCATTTCTTCTGAAATCAAGGCTATTAAATTAGAAGTTTGTCCCCCTTTGCTGCAGTAACAGCCTCTATTCTTCTGAGAAGGTTTTGCACTGGATGTTGGAACATTGCTGGGAGAGTTCAATGTCATTCAGCCACAAGAGCATTAGTGAGGTCAGTTACTGATGTTGGATGATGAGTTTTTGATCCCAAACTCCACTCCAACTAGGTATTGAATGGAAGGGCCTCACAGCCCAATGCTGGAGGGCTTTATACTTCTCTGTCCAACACTTGGCCTTGGACATGGTGATCTTAGGTTTATGTGCAGCTGCTCCAGAGTGCCCCTTTTCTATTGTCAGTGCTTTTCTATGGAGATTATATGAGCTGTGCGTGCACCTGTGTCAACTATGGGTGCATCTTGAAGTTGCTGTTTAAAAGGGGTGTCTGGATACATTTGGACATACGGTGTATGTTCATGCTGGTTTAATTTGGAATGTTTTTTTTGTAATGTGTCTTTTGTTATTTACAAAACTGAAGCTTTCACTATAACTGTTAATATAAAAAAAATGTGCTTTTACGTTATTCCCATTTAATGAGTCATCTGTCTTGTTCTTGTGGGTTTATAACTCCAGTTCTATTCCAGTTGTATACAAATGTAAATGACCAGTACAGGTGACCAAACTTAGTTCTAAATTCACAACATGGTTAAAGCTTTTACAACACTGAAGTTAGACAGCCATCGGATGTATTAAGTATTTACTATAAACCATGAAGTAAAAATGTTACATTGTGGACACAAACATGAAAAAACCACATTTAAACTGCATCTTTATTAAAAAGAAAGTTACATAAATGAGAAAGTTTGTCCAAATATTTGTATGAGTCAAGATTTGTCACACATGTTGCTGAATGTGCGCAGAGCAGATTGTAAAGTCTTTTGGGAGAAACCAGAACTAGATTACATAACTCTGGCTCTGAGTGTGAAATGAAGTACTTTGTTTCATTACTGTGATTTTTCTGCTTTTAGTAGTTATTATGTGATAAATTGTTTGGAATCTTATCTTTTGGGAAGTTAAGAGTAGGGGTGCAGAAAAGTTCACTCTTACTACCAACAAATATTTTATTGTGCTTCCAGCAGTGTACACAAGTTATGTAACGACTAAAAAAAGTAAAAGGGCAGGAAGCAGGCCTGCTGACCTGGTAATAAACATTATGAATTCTGCATGAATACAAACACTTACAAAATCCTCTTTCATGCTGTATATGAAAATGGAAGTGTTGTGAATGAAAAACTTTGCTTTTATTACTGACAGTACTGAAATAAAGAAACGCTGAAAATACATTTACATTTTATTTCAAATCAGACTGTCATTTTTCATAACATTTGTTTATAAACACATAGAGCCTGCTAGAACTACTAGGCATAAAACTAGCTTATGTTGTGTTTCTGATCCTGCTTACTTTTGAGTACAGCGCTTGTGTCATGTTTATTACTAGTAAGTGTAATAATCCACAGTGTGATTGTTGTAGAGTGTTTTCTTAAAAAACTCAATTCCAAAAAAAGTTGTGACTGCATAGGAATTGCAACTGAAAACAAAAAGCATGGATTTGTAAATCCACTTTGACCTGTATTAAAGCGTAAACAGTACAAAGACAAGATATGTAATGTGCCTTATCAGTTTCTATGTTGTTGTGAAAATACTCTCATTCTGAAATCGATACCAGCAACACATTCCAAAAAGTTGGGGCGGGGCAGTTTAATATTCAAAACTCATCTCAGGTGATGTAATCATGCTTGGGTAGGAGCATACAGGAAAGACCTAGTGCTTTGTAGCAAGGATTGGTCAAGGTGCACCACTTTGCCAATAAATCCATCAGCAAATAATTCAGCATTTTAAGAACAACATCCCTCAACAAAAGATTGCAAAGATTTTCGGTCTTTTACCCTCTGCAATGCATACAACCGAATGTCCATGACATTTAGGCCCTTAGATGGCACTGCATTAAAAAACAGCATGCTTCCGTGATGTCACCTTATAGGCTTAAGAACAAGTTAAGCCTGTACTGCATAGTGGAAGCCAAATGTCAACAATGTCCAGAAGCTCTGCCAACTTCTCTGGGCTAAGGCTCATCTGAAATGCACAGTGGAAACGTATTGTGGGTCTGATAAGTCAACTTTTCAGTTTATGCAAATACTGGATGTCACGTTCTCAAAGCCAAAGAATAAAAGATTAATCCAGATTGTTACCAGCATAAAGTTCAAAATCCAAGGTCTGTTGTGGCATGGGGATGTATTAATGCCCATGGCATGTGTAACTTGCATGTCTGCAAAAACACTAATAACACTTTAAGATTTACACATTTTGGTGCAGCGTATGCTGCCTTGTAGATGTCATCTTTTTCAGGGATGTTCATGCTTATTTCAACATGACAATGCCAGGCCAGAGTCTGTATGTGTAACAACAGCATGCTTGTGCAATCGGAGAGTGGGTGCTCGACTGGCCCGTCTGCAGTCCAGACTTGTCTCCCACTGAAAACATGTGCTGCATTATGAAGCATGAAATATGACACAATGTGCAGTTGTGCTGCTGAAGGCTTGTTTGAAGGCAGAAGGCTTTTAAACCATGATCAATTGGTGTCTTCAGGCTAAAAATGATTATCAAATGTTGTTAAAATGTGATATAACACAATGGTAAACATACTCCTGTTCCAACATTGTTAGAATGTGTTGTGGGCATCAAATTTGTTACAAAAAACAATAAAAAGTTCGTATGTTAAAACACAAAATATTGAGAATTCAGAACTTTAAATTTAGAATCACTGCTTTCTCTTCTGTTAGGATTTCACATACTGTCCCAACTGTTTTAGAATTTAGGTTTGTACTTTGTTACTCCAACCTTTATTATGCAATGAGCGAGCCACACCTTCAGCTCATTGTCGTAAATCTGAACATTCACTAAGAGTGACCTACCCTTCTTTTCTTCAAATTTTAGTTTGAAGCCAGGATTTAGGTGTAAGAGCTTTGAGTAAAGATGCAATTAACAGAGTAGTATATTCATCATGCACCGATACTGATTCATTCCTTACATGTTATAAAGGAAGTGATGATACATTGATCAAACATTACAGCTCAGACAATGTTAAACTCGCACACAGAGGCCTTCTCAGCACGACAGCTGTCATCAAACCACTTTCCATTGGCAGGGATGGAGAGAATGGCGCAGTTCTGGCTGCGTCCGCCGTCGGGTTGATGGGTTACCTCTGTCTCCCAGTTCTTGAAGCGTACAGTGGTGCCTGTCTTATCCACCCAGTCCCCCTCTTTCACCATGTCATTGATGCCCAGCCAGATGTGTTCCTCAGGCCCGATGGTCTGGCGGACGTAGGCGTAGAGCTGGTCGTTCTCATCGCCGTTGGCAGGAGTGCTGAGGGTGCCACCCTTTGCGATGCAATCATCACTGGCCGTGTGGAAGTTCTTCTTCACTGGGTCTGCCAGGAAACACTTGCCTGGAACCTTGATGCCTTTCAGGCACACTGGAATTAGAGGAGCAACAGATAATCCTGTGTTAAAGTTCAAAAGACAGATGCTGAGCGGATGCCACAGCAAGCACATCACTTCCACTTCATAAACCTGTACAACATAAAAGGCCATGCGATGATAATCAGCCCATGACTAATCCACAGCACATATGGCTGGATTCCAGACATCCCACAAATCCCATGTGGTCGGGCTTCACATTTTTTTTTGATTGAAGATGGATGAACATTGCTGAGGTGAGGTACAGTATAACTGAACAGGCAGTATTAAAGTTTACTGAAGGAAGCTCATATGCAAGCTTCCAGCAACAGTAGAACATGCATAACTTTGTGTTTAAAAACCATTAAAGAGGAATTTCCACATTATTAAATGGTTAAGATGTAAACAAAGTCTTTAAGGGTGGTTTGATGTGAAATGCTTCATTGTAGAGAAACGTAAACACTTCCCGAATTGCTCACAGCTGTGGTGATAGGAACCAGATGCCCGGATCCTTTAAGGCCTCTAAAAGCGAACTCACTGAAAGCTGTTACATGAAATGAACACAGATATGCTGCCAAATGCCTGAGACCTTGTTTTGCAATAGTTTGGGTCTAAAATGTGTTGTTTGTAAATACACTCTCTGAGCACTTTATTAGGAACATCTGTACACCTTCTCATTCATGCAATTATCTAATCAACCAATCATGTGGCAGCAATGCAGTGCATAAAATAATGGGTGGATGGGCTACAACAGCACAAAACCATGTCAGGTTCCACTTCTCTTTATCAGACTTTGTGAAACTGTGGATTTTGATGCAAAGTAAGGGATGAGTGCAATTTGTTTTGGTTACCCTTCCTCCACTTTTAAAGCAGGAAGTTAAGGTAGCTTCTTGTATTTTTGTTTCACTTTATTTTCAGGTTTTTTGAGACTGCTGGTGGTTTTGCCTTTTATTTTGGCATGTGCTTATCTCTGAAACCAATAACCCATTGAGACTTTTAAGAAAATATAAACAACCTGAGCTGTTTTCTGGTTTTAATGTGGTGTGGCGGGTCTGGGGAGTGAGCCCACTCCCATTTTCTGTTATGGACTGACCCTAGAGCAGGTCATAACATGTTCCTAATAAAGTGCTCAGTGAGTGTATGTTCATAAGGCAAACTAGACCCCAAAGAAAACATTTTCTTTTTTTCAGATTTACCACTATTTTACCATTATCAACATTACATATAAAAACTCAGAACACACATATAGGTTCAACTTTATGTGTTTGTTTGCATCTCAACAACTGAATTATGCAAAAGTTTTGAGAAATTTGTGGAAGTCCCCTTAAATTCATGACCCATGCAGTATGGAGCCATCTGAAATTTAGCAATGGTAGAGTATCAATGATGATTTTAAAACTCACCCTGAAAAGAAAAAAAAAGAATGAATACATTTTGAGTGCTGTAAGTTCATACAGAGCTTTATGGAGTACCTGTTTGTAGAGCTTGCTTTTCCTTCAGTAGACTCAACTCCTGGACGATCTCATCGATCTTTTTTCTCAGCTCCTCAATGGCAGCACTGTTAGCAGACTCTGATTACATCAGCACATTAGGCAAGAATCAAGCAGTCGTTATTCATCTCTTAAAAATAAACTGCTCAACAAGGCTGCATTATTCTGAGAGTTAGAATAGGCTACACAGTGAACTATGTACATCATCTTGTTATTCATAAGAAATCTACAGTACACAGATGTGGACTAGACTACAGAGGTAGACTTTTCTAGATTTACACACTTCAAAAGATGGGTCTTTATGGGTTCTTTAGTAAAGGGAATCATGAGTTCCATGAGCACCATGCAAAGAATCATTTTGTGCTTAAATCATTCTTTGCATGGTGAAATAGTTCTTCAGATTGATGGAGAATGTGTTGTGTATGGTTCTATATAGACCCTTTTTGAAAATGGTTCTATGTAGCACCACAAAGGGTTCTTCTATTGGTACAATGTCAAGCTTGTAACAGTAGAAGAACCCTCTTTGAAGCTGTACAGAACCATATATAACATTCTCCATCAATCTAACAAACCATTTCACTATTCAAATAACCATCTAAGCATGAAATGGCTCTACATAGAACCCATGGTTCTAAACAGAACCATTCCCTTTACTGAAGAACCATCTTTTTCAAGAGTGTACCTCAAAATGTTTCCACCACAGAACAGAACAAGGCTACACAGGTTGAGAAAACATGACTAAAGTAATGTAGAGAGAGTGTACCCACCTTTCTTTCCGTTCTTCTTCTTGGAAGAGCTCTGTTCGAGAGAGGAGTGTGCCACACAGACCATGCAGAGTAACAGTCCCACTCCTCTAAACCCCATATTTACTCAGTACGCTTGTCTAACTTGCTTGTTTCTGTCCAAAACTGATCGTGTGTGCTGCTCGGGTGGAGTTACACTGCTGTTATACTGCTGTCTGTAACCCTGGTGGAGCAGACCAGCCCACCATGGGCAGTCAAAACCCCACAAACTCACTCTCCCTCCCTCCCTCCCTCCAACAGCAGCTGTACACAAACACACCATATGCATTTGGCCTGACATTTATTCAGTGTGCTTTTTTAAACTTTTGGCTAAACTAAGCATAATTTGTAAATGACGCCACACTGACAAAACTTATAAGAAATATACACAGGACTGTGTAAAAGTCAGAGACCACACTTCATGTATTTAGATTCCAATCAAAACAGCCACTAAGTACACATTACTCATTTTCAGCATCTGGGACAAAGGTTTTTCAATATTTTGTCTGTCCACTCTTTACCTTCATTACAGCTTCCATTCTTTTCAGGAGACTTGCTTTCAGTTTTTCAAAGAAATCTGCAGGAATATTTTTCCACATCTCCAAAGTTCAGTCTTAGACGTTTTTGCATTTTCTCAAGATCCAAATAATCCCAAACACATTCAGTGATGTTGAGGTCTGGGCTCTGGGGTGGTCAGTGTATTGTTTTGAAAACACCAACAGCTTCTTTGTTTGATTTCATGCAAATGTTCTTCTTTTTTGTCTAGCTTCTTTTCTCTGTAAGAGTTCTTTACAGCTACACATCCTTTCAGACTCATAGTGTTGAGTTGTCTCCTCACAGTGGAAGGATGGACAGAAACACCTGTGGATTGTTTCAGATCTGAATCAAGAGTGGAGTTTGATTTTCTCCTCTCTCTCAAAGATGAAAGCTTTAAGTGCTGTTTATCTGATGGAGACAGTTTTGGTGTCTATCAGGACTTGAAAAGTTGTTAGGAGTCCCATTTTCTCTATAACTTTTAATATTATAATTAAAAATAGTTTTATACGTTAGACACATGCCAGTGCTTTTCTATGGACATTATACAAGCTGTGTGCAATTGAACACCTGTGTCAGCAATGGATGCAGCTTAAAGTAGCCATTAAAGAATTCACCATTTAGAAGGAGTGTCTGGATACTTTTGAATGTACAAGTACAGTGTATTATGGGCAGTCAAACAACAGGGGGCAGTATCGACAACAAGTTCATTCTAGTTTCTGCAGATGCTTACAAGTGTATTCTTTCTAAACGAGCAAAAGGGAAACTGCAAATATGTTGAATCCACTCTAGTTAATGTCATATTAAAAATAGTCTAGTTCCTTTAAAAAACTCTTCTTTAAAATGCATCAATGAACCTGAAAGTAACTATTTTAACCAGCAGTCAGTGCTACTGGTGTTTCTACAAACTACTAGAGCAGAAAATCAATTACTTTCAATCATCAATTAGCTGTGTGCTTCAAGGGTCCATATCATGAATTTGTTCACTTTTTATTTTATTTTATTTTATGTAAAATGTTTGATGTACCATGTAAACACTACAGATACAAAACATACCATCCCCTCAACAGTCCAGATGGGTCATGTATGAAAAATATGCTGCAAAAACAGACTGTTTCGAATTCATTGGGCCTGATTCACCAGTATCTTCCTACGTTTCTTCCTAAATCTGTTCTTGAGAAAGGTCCTAAGAAAAAGTCCATGTCAGATTAATGACGTGTTCTTAAACCACAAAACTGTTGACACCTTCGTGCTCCTGAGTGCGTGCAGACTCTGTTCTTACCTAGGAAACAAACCTCAAATAAGAAAACAAGAAAACGTCAGAATCATTCATGCTGAAGTTATTGAAAGTGCAAGATTCTTTTTTGTACATAAACCTACACAAACATTACGTTTGAAAAGGGGCAATGCTGCGTTTCTGTTTTGTGGATTGTGATCTTTCTCATAGTTTCCTTGTCATCCGCGTGACGATATACGCGGTAAGTGTTTGGGCTGATGCGCTTGTGGCTACCCGCGCATGTGCAGCATTGCCACGCTTGTGTGCGCTGGTTTACGCTGCCTGATCATACCCCCCAACCCCGTCCTTGTCGACCCCCCCCCGATCTGTACCCCACATGCACGCATTTTACGTCGTATTAGCAGATTAGCGTGCGTGTGCCCCGTGATGGACTGCTGACCTGTCCAGGGTATTTCATGCCCTCCGCCCAATGACCATTGGGATAGGCTGCAGCACCGCCCCGCGACCCAGAAGGATGTGTGCTTAATGATGACACCATAAACAGTCTCATTCACATTCAGGTTAGAGCACAGAGAGACGAGAGTGATGCAGACAAAACCCGCTCAGTCTTATCTTTCTGGTTTAGAATGAGAGCGGGTCTGTGGCTGAATCTCAAACGGCTCCTTACTCCCTATAAAGTGCGCTATAGGTGATGAAATTCATACAGAGCTTTATGGAGTACCTGTTTGTAGAGCTTGCTTTTCCTTCAGTAGACTCAACTCCTGGACGATCTCATCGATCTTTTTTCTCAGCTCCTCAGACTCTGATTACATCAGCACATTAGGCAAGAATCAAGCAGTCGTTATTCATCTCTTAAAAATAAACTGCTCAACAAGGCTGCATTATTCTGAGAGTTAGAATAGGCTACACAGTGAACTATGTACATTATCTTGTTATTCATAAGAAATCTACAGTACACAGATGTGGACTAGGCTACAAAGGTAGACTTTTCTAGATTTACACACTTCAAAAGATGGGTCTTTATGGGTTCTTTAGTAAAGGGAATCATGAGTTCCATGAGCACCATGCAAAGAATCATTTTGTGCTTAAATGATTCTTTGCATGGTGAAATAGTTCTTCAGACTGATGGAGAATGTGTTGTTTATGGTTCTATATAGACCCTTTTTGAAAATGGTTCTATGTAGCACCACAAAGCGTTCTTCTATTGGTACAATGTCAAGCTTGTAACAGTAGAAGAACCCTCTTTGAAGCTGTACAGAACCATATATAACATTCTCCATCAATCTAACAAACCATTTCACTATTCAAATAACCATCTAAGCATGAAACGGCTCTACATAGAACCCATGGTTCTAAACAGAACCATTCCCTTTACTGAAGAACCATCTTTTTCAAGAGTGTACCTCAAAATGTTTCCACCACAGAACAGAACAAGGCTACACAGGTTGAGAAAACATGACTAAAGTAATGTAGAGAGAGTGTACCCACCTTTCTTTCCGTTCTTCTTCTTGGAAGAGCTCTGTTCGAGAGAGGAGTGTGCCACACAGAGCATGCAGAGTAACAGTCCCACTCCTCTAAACCCCATATTGTAGTGCAGTAAAAACCCCACAAACTCTCTCTCCCTCCCTCCTTCCCTCCCTCCAACAGCAGCTGTACACAAACACACCACATGCATTTGGCCTGACATTTATTATAAAAGTAGGATATGGGCCCTTTAAAGATATCGTATTATTGCAGAAGCTGCTCTGTGAACACAGCGCCCCCGCACGTACTCTGAGGGATAGTGTCTAGTGCAAGTAAACCAAGCTTACTTTTTCCACGTTGTAGACTAACTTCGCTTCATCCCAGACAGTGTTTTAGTGAGTCAGCGCTGTTCTGCGCAGAGTGATCATTTTTCTTGTTCATTATATTTGAAAAGGGCAATGATGCGTTTCTGTTTTGTGAATTGTGATCTTTCTCACAGTTTCCTTGTCATCCGCGCGACGATATACGCGAAATTAAAAGCCCTTGTTTGGGTTGATGCACTTGTGGCTACCCGCGCATGTGCAGTACGCTGCCTGAGCATACCCGCACCCTACCCCCTTGTCGACCCCCCGATCTGTACCCCACACGGACGCATCTTTTTACGTCGTATTAGCACATAAGCGTGCGTGTGCCTTGTGATGGACTGCTGACCTGTCCAGGGTATTTCATGCCCTCCGCCCAATGACCATTGGGATAGGCTGCAGCACCGCCCCGCGACCCAGAAGGATGTGTGCTTAATGATGACACCATAAACAGTCTCATTCACATTCAGGTTAGAGCACAGAGAGACGAGAGTGATGCAGACAAAACCCGCTCAGTCTTACCTTTCTGGTTTAGAATGAAAGCGGGTCTGTGGCTGAATCTCAAACGGCTCCTTACTCCCTGCATAGGTGATGAAATTATGGCTTCTACACCCAAAACGTGCAGTTAATATCGGAGAGGATGTTGTGCAGCTATGACTGAATATAAATGGCTCTTTTCAAACTTTGGTTGCATTGTTTGTGTGTGGAAGTCGTAATGTAATTACCTACATAGTGCGCACTACGTAGGGCATAGGAAGCCATTTGAGACTGAGCCTGTATTTTGGCCAACTAGACTAGAGGCCAAGAACGCGGCTCCACTCTGTGTTTTCACATGTATGACAACTTGGCAACCGAAAAAAGAAGAGTCCAAAAGGCGCTGAAAGACACGTCCGCTTTGTTACAACTATATAAGTCATGGTCTATACGCATGCGTGCCAGTGGTGCGCATGCGCGGGTAAATCGGTGCTGGACAGGTAGCGACAGCGCTGTTCGAGTTTCTGCTGCAGAGTTTCTGAGTTTGGTCGTCATGATGCCGCTGGCGAGATTAGCACAGAGAGCAAAAGCGCTGCCCACCTGTATCTCTCAGACACGGGTAAGCGCTGTGTTGGTTTTCAGGCTGCTACAACGACGTTTATGGGAGAATAGTTATGCTGTTCGTATTAGCTTGCTAAATTAGCTAAACTAGCCAAACTTAGAGGGGCAAACAGTGGTCTGCAAAGTAAAGCCAAGAAAACAAATGAGTTTCCTTTCTACGGTGTCATGTTTCAAATGCAAAATGTCAAGACTCTTATAAACCCCTGACCGAGCAGGCGCCTGTCCTATGTTTGTGGGGTGAAGTTTGGCTGTGAAAGTAAGTGAAAGGTCGCTGGCGCTGCTGTTGGTCACCTAATCTGACCTTCTCCAGAGCGGGGGTACCCTAAACGGTCTGTCCTACCGAGCGTGCGCACACCATTATTATAGCGTAGTAATTTATTGTGTTTTTAAATGTTTATTCAGTGAAGTCAGTTTAGTATTACTAATCTCCTGAAGAGGTGATTTTAAGCCAGGGGTGTCCAATCTTATCCGCAAACGGCTGGTGTTTTCATTCCAACAAAGCAGCAGATCGCATGATCAAATGTTTGACGCCTGACAGGAACTGATTATACTAGTAAGGTCATGTGTGCTTCAGCTTGTTTTGTGTGAAAACCTGCAGCCACACCGGCCCTTTGCGAATACAATTGCACACCCCTGATTTAGCCAAATCAAAGATCAAAATATCCTGCAAAACGTGGCTGCGAAACGCGAGAGGGCGCCCGCGAGCGAGTCCTCAATAAACGGGGGTGAATGAAGCTAACTGGCTAAAAAGGAAAAGTTAAAATAGTTTCTAACCACTTGTCCAGAACCTTCCATTGATTTCAGAAAGTAGAAGGATGTATTTCACCATAAAAGCATAGAAAGCTTATCTGTATCTTTCTTTTTTGCTACAGCAAACAGGTTTTGGGCAGTAGGACTTCAGCATTACTGCTACTGAGTGGTGATTAACTTAGTTGGTGAGTGGAGGATCTGCTTGGGTGAGTGAAGTGGTCAACTCTTCCTGGCGTCATGAACGTACATAAAGTCCTATAAGTGGAGTTCAAGCACTCAGAAATATAGAATATTTGAACAAAAATCTGGCCAATGTCCTCAGAAAATGTTACCAGCATTAAAATAATAATTAGGATATTTAATATTAAATCAGCGAATCAGGGGATAAGCAGTAATGTTACGCTGAGTCTGTACTGAATTTAACCAGAGTGCAGGTAATTTCACTAAAAAAGCTTTGTCTACAATAGCGTTGTTAAAATGTTTTGTGCTGTTCTGTGTTCAGGAAATGAATGCATTCTTCTATATAAAAATGTTTAAGCTTTCACAAACTGATTTTGCTCAAATTTTCCATATTAACCAATTCCATTTGAACGAACTCAGGAGCGCCCTCCAGTGTCTGACAAAGCTAGAAGACAGTAGAGTGGTATTTCTCCTCTCTTCAGATTCTGTTTGCACTTTGTTGCAGATGTTTGGAAATGGCACAGCAGTTCTACGGCAGAGTGACGACAGCAGTGCCCCCCAAGCTCGGTTCTTCCCCCCGTTACAGGAACCGATGCTTCTCCCGGGGACTTTTAAAAACAAGGTGGCCTTCATCACAGGAGGAGGGACAGGACTGGGGAAAGGCATGGCCTTCACTCTGTCCTCTCTGGGGGCAGAGTGTGTGATAGCCAGCAGGTCAGTGCTCAGCCAAACTATTAAAGGGAAATTCCTGATTTGTGTTTCTTTTTCTTTTTTTTGTTTTTTAATTGGTGCCTAATTCAGTGGTTCGAATGTAGCCATTTTATTTATCATCCAAAATGACCATTGAACTTCAAAGAAAGCCTTTGAAAATGCATTCGACCACACTGGATTTTCATCTTCATGGTCATCTCAACCTGTCAATCGTCCCATCAGGGTGGGGCCAACAGAGTACTCAGTGTAAAAGGCTTTATCTAAAAACATTTCAGTTGAAAGGTTTGTAGCAGATGAGATGAGGTGAAGAGGAGAAAAATAGTGTGTTGTGATGCTTAATGTCTTTATACACAACCCCTTAAGAAAGATTGGCTGCCATGTTTTAGATAAAGCCTTTTACACTTTTGGCCCCGCCCTGATTGGATGATTGACAGGTTGATTGACAGACATTTTGACTCAGAATGAGCACAGTAAGCAAGAAAATGTAATTTCAAAGAGGATCTTTTTTTTATCAAATTATTTGCCTTGGAATGTAATAAAATTAATGTTTAATTGACTCTTCTCCTGTTCTCAGTGCTACAGTGTTCTCATTAATTTTAGAATTATCTACAGCAGTTGTAGTTTCACAGATCTAGTGAATTATAATTATACTTTTATACAAGTTCACTTTTAAATGGTAGTGTTCAAACTTTGCTAGGTTCAAACTTTTAAATGATAGTGTATTTATGTTTACTTGTAATCTATTAAGATTTTACCTTCAGTAAAAACACAAGAAGGCGTTTCCTTAATATTTGAATTTAAAATTTATTCTGGTCCATTCTGTCAACTAGCTTACTGGGCCAACTAGAACTCTTAAGTATCATTGTTTTCAGCAACCTGGTGGATGTAGAGCCACCTACTGGTTCTAAAATGTCAAGACTCTAGTCTGAAAACATGAAGCTTATCAATCAGAAGGCCTCTGCATTCAGAGGAGTATATAGAGAGCTTTAGGACTGTGATCTTCTGGCCATGGACGCAAACCTGAATTTCATCTGAAAGATAGACCTCTCACATTATTTTTGATATGCTTTTACTTTGTAGTGCTTTGGCTTGGTCCATTCTTGGACATGAGCACTCATCTCTGACTCTTGATGCTACAGTCTTTTATGCTTGGTGTAAGCTATACGTTTTGTAGTATGTTTGTTTTTTCTATGGAAGTTCTTCTGCTGTTGTGACACTCCTTTGTAATTCCAGAAACTTGGATGTTTTGAAGGCGACTGCAGAGGAAATCTCCAGTCAGACTGGTAATAAGGTAACTACAGATGAGCTGTACAAGAATTAGCCCTGGCACCTCGTTCTACGCTGTAGACCAGTACGAGCCATTTTCAAGACTCCTAATGCTACCTTCACCAGCTACTGTAAAACGATCAAATTTAAATTTGTTCTGGATAAGAGCATCTGCCAAATGCCATAAATGTATATATATTTCCTGTAAATATATGTTCCATAAACTGTCAGCGTTTAGTTTTACATGACCTTTCCAAATTTGGGTTAAGTCTTAGAGTTAAATAGGCTGTTTTTGTTACTGTATCTTTAAGACTGAGATATGTAAATAAGCTATGTTCTGATTGACTGCCCTGTGTTGTGCCTCATTCAAGTAACAGTCCAGGCTGAAACACTCCTCGTATCTTCAGCATGAATGGGCGGGGCTAAAGTGCTGTAAGCTGGTTGGGCAGATGTGGAAAACCACTGAATTTATATACAAACATCTCACTCTTTTTGCAGGTTATGGACTGGAGAGTGAACAATACGTTTTTGATACTTTCGCAGTGTTTACATTCTACATGAAACGCTTTCATTAATGAAACCGGAAGGAAAATTTGTTTTTTCCATGGTATGGGCCCTTAAAGCTAAGATATTCTAAATGTTGTAGATCAGAGGTTACCAGTCTTGTCCACAATGGTTCAGTGTGGATTTGATACCTCATATACCTAATCAACTGTTTCTGGCTGAGATCAACTAGTAAGACAACTCGTGAGATTAGAGACCCCTGGTGCTGCTGGCATCATATGTGCAAAATAGTAACTTTACTGGACAAAATATATATATATATATTCATGTAAGAAAATGTTCAAGTAGTTTTGGACCACTTCTATTCTTCGGCTCATCAAGAAATGTTGAAACAAAGTAAAAGGCAGCTGGCATTTCTAAATTATGTAAAAATTAAAAGACATACAGGTTTTGTTTCTATGGCAGTGACCTAGTAGTGCGTATCATTTTTTGCTCACTGGTGATCCCTGCTGAGTGATGTGCTTGTGTGTGTTGCAGGTTCATCCTCTGCAGTGTAACGTGAGGGACCCGGCCTCTGTAAAGGCTACTGTAGACCAGATGGTCAATGATGTTGGACTCCCTGATGTATGTAGGAACAGTTCTCAGCTGCCTGAAAAGCAGTATTGTGATGCTGTGGTGAAGTTGTTGAAGGAAATGCTGATCGTGACCCGTTGAGCACGTATCTTGCAATGACGCCTGAACCCTGTGTGCTCTTTGGCTCTCAGGTGGTGATCAACAATGCGGCAGGCAACTTCATTTCCCCATCTGAAAGGCTCTCGGCCAATGCTTGGAAGGCCATAACAGACACAGTTCTGAACGGCACAGCCTACATCACCCTGGACATTGGGAAGCGCCTCATTGCAGCTCAGAAAGGTGAAAATTACACTAGGCTTGTGAGATTGTGTGCAGTGTACAGTCTTCTAACTGTGACTTCTTTCTGCGGCTCCTTTCTCCAATAACCTGATTCAGCACGGCAGGTTGTGTGGGAACATCTCCCAGAAGCCTGTTAAAATCAGAGAAAATAATTAATTTCCTAACTTTGTTGTTGTATGGTTTGGTTGTTATAATTCTTGCTTTAATTAAGGTTTAGGAAATTGCATGTTTTACAGCCTTCTTTGCTTTCACAGTGGAGGTAATGGGCAGTTTAGGAAAGAGGTTGGGTATGTGAAAGCAAAAGGCTGTTTCACTACTAGTTTCAAAATTCATTAGGTTGGCTGTGCACGATAAAGCTAGGGGCCAGGTTCCCAGACTAAGCCTGGTCTTGGACTAAATTGCAGAATCAGTGGTGAATTGGCACTAGAAATTCCTTTTAATCTAGGCTTAGGTTTAATCTGGCTCTGAAAAAGTGGCTTTGTATGATGCACATGACGAATTAGCTGACTAATAAACAATATGAGGTGGGCATGAAGACTAGAGACTTTGCACTCATTTTTATTTACTTGTTTATTTATTTATTTTTTGATGTTCAGCATTAATCATTACAAAAACAAACTTTCTTTTTGCACTGTGGTTTTTCAGAAAATATTAGAAGCCTAATTATACAAACCTCAATTCCAAAGACGTTGAGTATGTAAAATGCTGATATGAACAAAAAGCAGTGATTGGTATTTTCAAAAACATGCTTAATATTTTAACTTATGAACTTCTTGTAAATATGCGCTCATTTAGATTTGGTACTTGCAACGCATTTCAGATGAGCTTGAGTCCACAGAACTCAGTGTTTCCAGATGTTTCCAGATGACTTGCTCTGTGCATAGTACCTTAACTTGCATTACTGGATGCATCGATGAAATGTGTTTATTGACTAGGCCTTTTGGAATGTGTCGGGTATCATTTTCAGAATGAGCAAATATTTATAAAAAACAATGAAATGTAATTAAGAACATTTACATATCTTGGGACTATAAATTAATTTATTTATTTGTTTTGGTTTTTTTTGAGCTAATTGTATTGGGTTCCTCAGTAACGTAGCGTTTAAGCAAAGATACCCTCTATATACTGGCATTCCAACAAAGCCAAAATACTTGATTACAACAGCCAGACCACTAGATGGCAGTAAGTGCTCAGGTTGCAGTGCTGTACTATCAAACACATCTTCTGTTTGTTAACCTCTTAACTCTAAGCTTGTTGTTCAGTTAATAGTCTTAAGACTACCATGAATGAATCACTTACTTTTGTGAAACCACTGTGCAACGAATGTAGTTATGAGACTGATGAACTGAAGTCCTGACTGGCCAACAGGTCTTTAGAGTTTAAGGGATTAACTGGAGTATGAACCAGATTTGTATTTTTGAAACAATGCATAATTATTGTTAATTACATAGAACTGTAAACCTCAGTGTTGTTAATATGTGGTTAGAATGGTGAATGAAGCTTTTGAAAAGGGTTGTCTGGCTTTTTTAGGCTAATACTGAATAAAACCCCACAGCATTTTTTTTTCCTGTTGGACTCTTGATTTTTAAATTCATAATAAACACTTTCAGTCTAAAAAAAAGTCCAACCTTTTTTGATTATTTTAACCTTTTTCTCTCCTGTGAACATGGTAATTACAAGAAATGCAGTCCTGGATATGATGATCTCTGTTAAACCTAAATGGAGGCTGCCTGCTTAATGTGCTTTTTATGGAGTTCAGTCAGTATAATTCTGTTTAAGTGCTCATAGGTTAGAGTCTGAATGGAGGGTTGTTTATTTTATTTTATTTTTTATTTATTTTATTTTTTTCTTTTTTGGAGGAAGTGCTAACGTGTGGTCATTGGTGTTTTTCAGGTGCAGCATTTCTGTCCATCACCACAATCTATGCTGAGAGCGGCTCTGGGTTTGTAATGCCCAGTGCATCTGCCAAGGCAGGAGTTGAGGCTTTGTGCAAGTAGGTGAACAAGCTGAGTTATAGCACAGTTATTTGCTAAATGACCTTTAACAATCTAAAAACATGTTGATGAAGAATATCCACTGATTTGCCAGTTTATTGGAAACAACTACCTTTTAACTACAGTCAGTGGCCAATATTTTAAGAAACACTTGCCATATAGGTAAACTTCGTAGACTGTTACTGCAGAATTTATAATTCACCCTCTACCCCATCCGGTAGTGGATAGGACCATCACCGACCAAATATTATGTGGATCGTGGACCGTTCAGCTGGCATGGCACTGACATGGCAGTGTGAGAATCAACCACCAACCAAAATATCTAACCAGCAGTCTAAAGGATGACCGACACAAATTGTGCACAAACTGTGCCTTTAAGGTTAGAACAACGGTCTTAAGTCGGCCTTTGTATCATAAATAAGTTTTTCTCAGGGGAAAGGTTTGTTTGTTTGTTTGTTTGTTTTTGTTTTCATAAACAATTTTTTTTTAAACAGAACGGTAAAATAAGCATGGAGTCAGTGCAGCTTAAATATACTTGCAATGAAATGTGGTACAATTATGTCCCCTAACTGAAGGTCCTGGACACGTACCCTTGAGGGTACCAACTCAGTGATAGTCTAGTGGGGTGTAGGTATAAGGTGGCCAACAAGTGTAGATGATATGCCTGATGAATTTTAGCAAGTGTAGTGCCCTTTACTGAGGGGCGTGGTTTGTTTGTTTTTGTTTGTTGTTTAAAATAACTACATTGCAGTGTGAGGCTTTAAAAAGGTTCTCTGTTCTATAATGGCATGATTTGCAGTCCTGTGGCGATACTTGCGTCCATGACAGGTTGGAATAGACTGAGGTGAAATCTCCACAGGTGGCCAGTACTGCACCAGAGGTGCTTATCAAAAGTGATGAAACTTGTAGAACCCAAGCTGATCCACTGAGTCTGGGTCTCATTAATTCTTGAAGAATTATGGAGGCAATATAAAATTCAATTATACAGACCAACCAAGAGGGCACTTGTACAGTTTGTGGGTAAAAAGGCAGGGGCTCAAGAATCCCCTAGGGTCTCTTTGCGCCTGTGCCTGAGTGGCATGTTAGTGGCTGTTGTGCCAGAGTGGATCAGACACAGCAGAGCTGCCGGAGTTTTAAAATATTGTACACTTACTGTCCACTCTGAGACACACCTGCTTTGTTGCTGTGGATGTAAAGACATTAGTGATATTGACGATAGCTCATCTGTTGGATATATTTGGTTGGTGGACGATTCTCAGTCCAGCACTGACTCTGAGGTGTTTTAAAAACTCCAACAGCACTGCTGCGTCCGATCCAGCGCAACACATGCTGACTTGTCACCATCCTTTTAGTTTCACTGCAGTGCTGAGAATGATCCACCACCCAAATACTACCTGCACTGTGGTGGTCCTGACTACTGATGAATGGAATAAAGGGAGACTAACACATTATGCAGAGAAATGGCTGTAACTGTAGAAGTACCTCATAACATGTCTGTATACAGTTGTATGCCACATTTTATATTTTATTGATTTTTGGAAGTGAAATAACATTTTTTTTGCAATTGTTAATGCATAGTTACTTAATTTGATTAGCTTAAATAGTAAATGTCACACATGCAAAGGTTTGGGCACCCTTCTAAGTCAGTACTTATTTAAGTCAGTTTTTCGACGGCCATTCGAAAAACTTTAGTTTGCATTTCTTGATGTAGTTCATGTTGCATTTTGATCATTGTCCTTTTGTAGAAACCAGTCTCATTTTGCTTTCAGAGTGTGCCGATATCTAGCAAAATCCAGTCTTCCATCTGTCTGTGTAGTGTTTCCTGTGCCAATGTGCCACTGGCTGCTGCACAACTGCAAAGCATAATACATCCACTTGCATGCTTAAGTTTGCAAGGTGTGGTGTAAAAATGTCAAGATTCTTTCTTGAGGTTCATGTTGCACAGTCACCTAGAACCTGTTCTGAATCTTCAGCTTGGTCTCTTGAGGCAATTTTGTCATTGTTGGTGTTTTCTTTTACTGTAATGCGGTATCATTAGGAAAATCAATAGTGAGTGCTCTATTCTTAGCTTTGCAGACATGTATGAAATGAGAGTATGTTTCTCAGGCTCAGAGAAAAGCGGCTGCCAAATTTCTGTTGCAGATCTGTTGGCTGTGCAGGCAGTTGCAGGTTGAGTAAAACAGCCTTTATTCTCAGTTTGAGTGCAGTTTTGCCTGCTCCTGTGGTATTGAACGCCAAACTGGAATCAACAGATGCCTCCTTATGTGCTCTTGCTCATACCGTCAGTGTTCTGGAGCTGTGGAGAGCCTTTACTCAGCCTTTTAGCCGGGCAGGAAAACTGCAGCCGTTCCTGATATTCTGCGAAAGTGTGGTTAATGTTCTTTTCTTTTTTTTTGACAAATTCTTGGAATCAGGTGTTGCTAGTTATGAAATCTGTGAGCAAAGTAGCAGAGTTGTGCATAGTTCAAGGATTTTTTTTTCTTACTTTTGGCATACATCACTGAGAGCTTCACCATTTCATTTGGAAAATGTTAGTCACTTCATATCAATTTTATTGCAGCCTCATAAAATGCTGTGCTCTAGTGATTAATTACTGTGTGATAGCAGATACGTTTAAAATATTTTTTAGCTCAAAATACAGTGCTTGATTACTTTTTTGACTCGCTGTAAGTGAAACTGAACCTTACATGGGATGCTTTAGGATTAGTAAGGTCTGCAAGTCAAATGTTAACGAGGACGTCATTCAGAGTGGTTTGAAGTGAAATGCTCCATTTCAGAGAAATGTAGAGTCACAATTGTTCATCGTGGTGGTGATGGGACCCAGATATCTGAAGAACTTAATGCCTCTAAAAGCTCACAAAGTTATAATATGAATGGGTTATTAATACAGTGCCTGATGCCTGAAACGTTACTATTTCCATGTAACTTCACTGGCAGTTGTGGATCATACATAAAATTATGCTGAAATCATGACTCTTGGTCCCTGTCCCCACTACTGTGGAAAAAATTTGAGTTCGGGAAGTTTCTTTACAGTTAACTATTTCCCATAAACCACTCTTTCTTGACTGACTTTCTTTTCATTTCTGTGATTTGAATTATGTAGAAAGTTTGAAAAATCAGTGGAAGTCCCCTTTGGGTGAGGGGACTCACTCAAAGCATTTGTGAGGTCAGGCGCTGATATTGGACAAGAAGGCTTGGCTTGCAATCGATATTCCAGTTCATTCCTAAGGTGTTTAGTGGGGTTGAGATCAAGGCTCTGTGCATGCCACTGAAGTTCTTCCACATCAGTCTCTTTAAATGATGTCTTTATGGACCTCACTCTGTGCACAGGGGCACAGTCATGCTAGAACAGGAAAACACCTTCCCCAAACTTGACACAAAGTTGTAGGCGTAGAATTGTCTAACATGACTATATATGTTGTAACATTAACATAACCCTTCACACTTCACTAGAAAATAGGTAATGTTCTCAAGTAATCTGCAAAAACCAGATTTGTTTATCAGTTTCCCAGAGAATGAATTGTGATTGATCACTCCAGAGAACATATTTCCACTGCTCCAGAGTCCACTAGCGACGTGCTTTACACCATTTCAGCTGACGCTTGGCATTGCGCATAGTGATCTTAGGCTTTGTTTCCAGCTGCTTTGCCATGGAAACCCATTTCGTGAAGCTCCTGATGCACAGTTCTTGTGCTGATGTTGCTTCTAGAGGCAGTTTGGAACTCTGTAGTGAGTGATGCAGCAGGGAATAGGTGATTTTTATGCTCCTCAAGCTTCAGCAGCGTGGCCTACTGCTTTGTGGCAAAGGTGGCATCCTATGATCTTTTCATGTTTAAAGTGACCAAGCTCTTCAGTAGGGCCCATTCTACTGCCAGTGTTCGTCAAAGGAGATTTGCATGGCTGTGTGCTTGGTTTCATACACCTCTTAGCAATGTATATGATAAACATCTGAACTCAATAATTAGGTGTCCACATACTTTTGGCCATATAGTACATGTAACACACTACTGCATTAACTGTCATTCTGACCACATGACCAGCTTATGACCTGCTGTAAATTAACTCTTATTTTCAAACTGAGTATTGATGACTGCTGCTCCTAAGAAATCATTTTTTAGGTTTGGACAATGGACAATATAAGCAGACTGTTTAAATCCAGTGAAAAGCATGCTTCTTGAGTAATGCTGACATGCTCATACTGTATTGGTCCATTGTATGTAAGCTCCCATTTTATTTAATGTAATTCCTTCTACAGGAAATTGCTCACCCAAAACATTGACCCATCAGAAACCTTTATAAGAAAGCTTTCTCATGGAGTAATTGTACAGCAGTTTCCTTCGTTTTCCTCCTGTTATCTTCAGACACTATCGAGCAAATATGTTGTTTTTGATTGGGCTGTCTGTCGTGGGGATTGAATCCCATGGACTGAGAGGGCCTATTGGATCAGTTTACCTTGGACTGACCCCCAGAAGCAGCCTGATAAAAATTTGTTTCCTTCACACCCTCTGTGTGTCTTGTCTCTCTTGTCATTGTGGTCTAACAATAATAGGAAAGCGAATGGTGTCCTGGAGATAATGGCTGCCAGAAGGGGGAGTGTGTGTTTGTGAATGACAGACAGATTATAATTCTGGCTGATTGTGTTTTGGGTTGTGCCTGTAGGTCTCTGGCAGCAGAGTGGGGACGATACGGCTTGAGGTTCAACATTATGCAGCCAGGGCCGATCAAAACCAAGGTACTGTATGCATGTTTGAGTGTGATTTTTATAAAACTATGTGCTTGTAGGGTGGAGGTTAAAGGTATTTTCCCCACCCTAAGTCTTAGAAGTTGGTTAAGGGGAAAGATATAATATGCTGTGATATTGATACAGATGAGGGCTGCCGATGATGTCAGAATCATGTCTGTATTGGTAAATAATTGTGTGAAAGATCACTTACATTTGACCAATAATTAAAATATTTGATACATTTTGTTCATATTACTGCATTTGTAATGTCTTTAGAAATAAATGTTATATTTCTCCCTAATGTTAATCCATGTTAACACACAGCCCTAATTTCTACATTTAGAGACCTTCATTCATTTAACTCCCAATCAGAACAGCCATTAAGTACAAATTATTTAATTGGTCAAAAAATATTTCTGAGAAGATTAAATATAAAGTGGTCTGCTTGTATAAGGAAGCAAAGTCAATAGGGGGAAAATCAGGACTTTCCAATATCTAAAAGATAAAGAGAAAATGTGATTCCTAACAACCATGTAAGACCTGGTAGACCACCAAAATTGTCCCCATCACATAAACAGCACTTAAAGCTCCCATCTTTGAGAGAGAGGAGAAAATCAAGCTCCACACTTGCTTTGAAAAAACTACAAGTGTTTCTGTCCATCCTTCCACTGTGAGAGGATAACTCCACACTATGAGTCTGAAAGGATATGATAAGAAGCTGTTTCTGAGAAAAGTAAATGGACAGGAAAGTGGAAAATTTGCTAATTGAACAAGCTGCTGATGTTCTCAGAATAATGGATGGACCACTCCAGAGTCCACACTCCAGAGTCCAGACCCCAACATCACTGAACGTGTTTGAGATTATTTGAACCGTGAGAAGCAGAAAATGAAGCCAACTTCTTAGACTCAACTTTGAAAAATATCTCTGCAGATTCCTTTGAAAAATTGGAAGCTGTGATGAAGGTAAAGAGTGGACACAATAAATAAATAAATAAATAAATGTTAGTTGTTTTTTTGATACTGGAAATGAATAACTTGGCTGTTTTGACTAGACATTAAATAAATGAAGGGTGGTACTGTATGTATCTGCAAAATGTTGGGATTGGTGCACCTCTTAATATGGGTTTTACAAACTAAAATAATTCGTTGAAAATAGTAGAAAATGCTGTTACTAATATAATAAGTAGTGCTGCGATCAGCAAAACCTATTTAAAAACTTACTAAGAAAAACTTTACAGTATTTGATGCCATCCGTGTGATGAACCAGTGTCCTGCACTCTCACCCTCAGGGTGCCTTCAGCCGCTTGGATCCCACTGGCAAGTTTGAGAAATCGATGGTTGACAGAATACCGGTCGGTCGCCTGGGCACTTTAGGAGAGATTGCCAACCTAGCTGCCTACCTCTGCAGTGACTATGCCAGCTGGGTGTCGGGTGCGGTGAGTGTGCTCTGACCTTGTGGGGGGAAAGGCTGTCTCTTCTCTATAGCTCACCTGCTGACTCCCCCTTAGGACCTCTCTGCTTTCAGCGAGAGAGAGAAAGAGAGACAAGGGTACAATCGTGCCCTCTGATAGGGAACCCAGGGACTTTGTAGAAGCATAGGGGACACGTTGATCATCGGTAATGCATAGCGTTGTGCCAACGGCCCTCATTTATCAAAGCTGCATACAAACCAGTTAGGGCTGCACAAATCACCTTTTCTCAAGTATAATTTAAGTAAATAAAACGAGTGTCAGCAGTACAAAAGCTAAGGAGTTACGGTTTCCAGTTTAAATGGACTTCACATATCTGTGCTGTTATGAGGGGTTGGGGGGGTGGGGGTCACCATTTCACTGCTGTCACAATTTTGTAGTTATGGTTGCATTTTGAAATCTTTAAAATGTTTATGCGTGAACCAACATATGGCATCTGTTTTTATGTGCAGTGTTGATAATAGACCTGGAAATAACTAGCATGATATTTTCTAGTTAAAAAATCGGTATTATCGATAATGGTGCCCACAGACTCGAGGCGACTTGTGTGCTAATACCGCTCCCTGCTGGAGAAGCTTCAGTCTGCAAATGATTTCGAAAGTCATGTCCACATGCTTTCCACATAAAATAAAAAAAAATATATTTTCCATCATAAAGGTGGCATTTCCATAATTCAGCTAACCACCAGGACTCTAAATTAGTACAGAAAATACTGCACACTGGCTGTAGATGAGAATCTGAGGAATTTTCTCTTCAGGTTAGTTAACTGTTCTACACTAACTTTGTGATTTTAGCTACATGCATTATATATCATCACATGCATCTATATCTCTGGGTGCGAGCCCGCACACTTCTAATCATGAGCCCCGTTTTCCGAATGTATTTTTAAGCTGTTTAACGGTAAATTAGTCCGCTCCAATTTTTCTCCTAATTTTCTCCTAATTTCTTCTCTTTTACCAAAACGTTTTACACATCACCATCAACTCAATCATCAACGATAACCGACTAAATCACCATCTCGCCCAGGCCTAGTTGATAAAGATACTGGTAAATCTGAAAGTCTTTGGGCACTACTTTGCCTTAAAACGCCTTGCATGTATCCATCTGCCATAAATGTTTTTTAAAAAAGTGCGCTTTAAGTGAAAGCTTACGTCAAAGCTATTGTGAAACAACGTCTCGGATGATGAGGCAGTGCATTCACAACCATTTTGTGTTGACTTTCTGATTCAAGATGGCTTGAACCATTTTGACTTGGTATGTATGTCCAGAACAGAGCATTTCACATCAGACCACTTTGAATGGCTGCGTTTACATTTTAACCACTTAATTATGGAGAAATTGTACAAATCAGTGGAATTCCCTTTTTAGTCTGTCTGCCTTTTTTAATAACGTAAGTAGATACCTTGTTTACTAATATAATTGGAAGCTATAAATAGCAGCTATAGGCTAATTGTGTCCTAATGAAACTGCATTTCCCACTATTGTTTGTTTCATGCATTTCCTGTTGCCTTCTCTCTCCATAGACTATCAAAATAGACGGCGGTGAATACTCGTTTATGGCTGGTGAATTTAATGGGCTTAGTTCGGTAAGAATTTCCTGTTATGCATGCACAGTTTTTAGGAGACACTGAATAAATGCGTTGTATCTCACACTGTTGCACTTAAATGTTTTTGCTAGGTCACGAAGGATCAGTGGGATATGATGGAGGCCATAATCAGACAGACAAAGGGATCCTAATGATCAAACCTAAGGATGGCAGACAGTGAGCTCACTGCACATGAACTAATTTGACATGCAGTTCCATACAGTGTTCATGTAGTTCTTTTGTGTATATAGTTATAATGCATATAATTAAACATGCCCTAAAATGTGTGTAGGACTTAAGTGCTCTCTGTCTGTGAAAATGGTGCCTCTGTGCCATATGTCTCTAAATAACCATCATGAAAAATCCACTTTGCATTTGATCACACTTTGGATGATGGTAGATCTAATTTTATCTGCATTTCATATCCTTTCTGAAGAATACCTTTGTCATGTCACATTAAATTGTCTGTTTTCCACATACATGTATTCATGCTTAACTTTGTGCCTTTGATGAAAGTAGAGGTCTTTTTTTATTATTATTACGTCCAACGTTCTTAGTTTAATGTGGCAGGTGAGATTGAAGACTTACACATGATGTAGTTCCCTTTACTAACCAGATTTTACATCATGCACATTTTCGTGTTCTTTAAACTGAGTAGACCCATCGTCTTAAAAAAAAAATAAATAAATAAATAAGTTGCATGGTTAAAAAAGGGCCATGGTGGTTCAGGAACTGTGAACACCTTACAATTCTAGTTTAATGATGAGCTTTGTGCTCAGCATCCAGGACAGTTTCTGAACATCCAGTGACTCTAAGAACAAATACTTCATTCATTTTTATCTGGTAAAAGGTCTAATAAATGCTACAGTAAACAAAATAGAACAATAATCAACTACAGTACAGTGCAGAAGCCCAAGGCCACTTTCATTTATTTAATTTTCAGTCAATATGGCCATTAAATGATTTGAGAAACTTGGTTCTTTAGCTTCATATACCAATGTGATCTTAGACTCTGTGCTCAGTTTTACTCCGCATGTAAACAGCCACTGAAGTAGCTTTTTATCATTTGAGAAATATCACTGAAGTTCGGCCTTTTCTATCTCAGAGTGACGCAGAGAAACTTGTTCATGCATTTGTTACAAGCAGGCTTGATCACTGTAATGATCTTTTTACTGGACTTCCTAAGAAAACTATACACCCCTTACAACTCGTACAAAATGCAGCAGCACGGATCCTAATAAAAACAAAAAAGAGATCACATCACTCACATTTTGAAAGAACTGCACTGGCTGCCTTTATCATTCAGGATAGATTTCAAGGTTCTGCTACTAGTTTTTAAAGCTCTAAATAACCTAGCACCTGCAAACATCAGAGTGTCTGTTTATGTTCCAGCACGTAATCCAGGATCTGCAGATAGTGGCCTTCTACAGATGCCCTCTGTAAAATACAAAAAACATGGAGAGGCCTCGTTCAGTTATTATGCTTCTAGACAGTCGAGCTCAGTGTTCACTTTTGAGAAGCATCTAAAAACATTTCTCTAAGTTAGCATTTAACTAAAACTCTGTCTTGTGGTGTTAATCTTTTAATTTGATCTTTTTCATTTTCTTCTGATTCTAAACTAATGATTTCTTGTATAATTATGTTTTATCACCTGTCTGTAAAGCACTTTGAGCTGCCACCGGCATGAAAAGTGCTGTATCAATAATAATTAATTATTATTATTATTATTATTATTATTATTATTTCATTATATTAAGTACAAGTAATTTCTCAGGAAAACATGCTGAAAACATATTTAACAAATCACACAGAAACCTCAACAAATAAATATCAGTTTTTCCAATATTTAATGTTGCAGCTTCCATTCTTTTCAGGAGACTTGCTTTCAGCTTTTCAAAGAAATCTGCAGGGGTATCTTTCCAACCTCCAAAGTTCAGTCTGAGAAGTTGGTTGCCTTTTCTGCTTCTCACAATCTCAGACACATTCATGTATTCATGTTGAGGTCTGGGCTCTGGGCTCTGGGCTGGTCTGTCCATTGTTCTGAGAACACGAACAGCTACGTTTACACAGCTATGTTTTTTGTTGTTTTTTTTGGCTTTTCACAGTGTCTTTTAAATGTGATCTATATGCGACGTTAGTCTGAACAGACCATGCTCTTAAATTGACCCACATGTGTAAAAGAACAGTACTTCATGTGGTGCGTCATCCTGAGGTAAACAATCATGACCGCCAACAAACGCCAGTCGCTTCCAGAGGTTTCAGTTTCGTCTTCACCAGCGTCACAGGAGCGATCATGAAAGTTCAAAAGTTTTCAGATCTAAATCAAGAGTGGAGCTTGATTATCCTCCTCTATCTCAAAGATTAAAGCTTTAAGTACTGTTTATTAGACTGTGACCGTTTCGGTCTTCCAGGTCTTGCATGGTTTTTAGGAGTCCCATTTTTTCTGTATCTTTTTAAAAAAAATTTCCGGTTTAGGAAATTCTTCTGGACAGTTCTGTGTATACAAAACACAAAAGACGACCATAAACAACTAAACAAGTCTGTAGCGATAAATAATAAATGAACTGAAATAAATGAAAGTAAATGCAGCTGTAAAATAAAAAGTGTGATTAAGTAGCATGTGTCTCATTTCTTCTCTCTAATTTTGGAAGCAAAGCTGTGATCCATAAGATATATTTCTAGCAATATCATGATTGACAATAATATCGGGCAAAAATATGAGGGGGGTGGTCTCCTTTTGTTCTCAGTCAAGCTCAGTCAATGTGTCTATGAGAATGACAACACTTTTTCGGGTCTCTGTTCTGTGTTGAACAATCCTCTGAATCTTCTGATTCTGATTCTACCTTCTTGTTTCCTCTGATCTCAGTTTTCACAGTGAGTGACACTTCAGTGTGAAGTTACATAAAGTATATTTGAAGTGACAGTGTCGTTCATCAGGGTGCGTTCACCATCTCACATTCCTTCCCTTTTAACGGTGAACAGCTGACTGTGTTTGATGGTTTAGAACAGAGAGCCGAGGAAAGAGCCATTAAACTCAACCCAATTGCATTTTTTAGGTCATTAACCTCAAAGTGGAACCATCCAAGCAACATAGTGCTCGGACAGAGTCCTGTTAATGCTGTTTACGTATTTCTGCAATCTGTTCCACGCAGGTGCATTTAGCTTCTGATTTCTGCACACTGTCATAGGTCTTGGGTTTTCTTTCCATTGGTTGAAAAACACCCTGAGAACTGCAGCACCTTGCAGGGAGTCTTCAAGATAAGGCACCTCTGTACCTTTCACAACTTCAAGAGGTCAGCAGCTCAATTATAAGATAAGATCATGAAGTGTTTTTGGTCTGAATTATACAGACACAAATTGCATCTCCAGTCTGGATCTTGCCGTTTATCAGTATCCTTTCAGAAAGTCCTGCGATGTGGATAAATCATTTTCAGATGCTTGTAAAATTCTTATTTAAATAGGAAGATGTACCAGATTAACTACGAAGAGCTGCAATCATTGGTTTGCCCAGTATTGTAATTATAATAAGCTTTATGTATATAGCACTTTTCATACATGCAAGGCAGCTGAAAGTGCTTCACAAGAGGTTAAAAAATAGAAATGTATTATATATAATATATAGAACTTCGCAAAAGTCAGAGACCCATCAAAACATCTGTTAAGTACAAGTTATTAATTTCCACAATTTCATTCATATATTTCAAGATATTCCTAAAGAAATCAGATACAAAACTATCCACTTACATAAGGAAGGGGTTTGTGCCTTCAGTGTATGGTGGTAGTGGAGGAGACTCATCGAAGGAGGGAGGGAACTCGGAACTCAGGCTGGAGCTCTGGACGGCTTCAACTTGGAGCTTGAAATCTGGAACCCCCTTTTGAACTGTGGTAAGACTGACAGAACTGAGGATCAGGGACTGGATGCAGTGGGAGTGGGGGGATGGGGTGTTGCGATAATTTTGTTACAGGAAACAATAGGTAGAAATGGGAATTCATAGGGTGGTAGATTGGAAGGAGGGGAATGGTCTTCTCCCCAAACTTTAGTTACCATAACTCTATCAAAATAGAAAAACGGAGTGTCGCTGACATTGTTTCCTTTAAACAGACACTACTGAGCTGCCTTACAATTATTTTTCTCATTTGCATCTAAAATGGCTGAAAGAGATATTTCGGAGAAGATCAGATGTAAGATATTTCACTTGTATAATGAAGTGGAAAGTCAAAGCAAAATAAGTGAAAAAACAGGAGTTTCCAAAACTGGAGTTCAAAAATGTATTTAAGAAGTTATAGAGAAAATTAGAGTCCTAACAACTGTGCAAGACCTGGTAGACACCAAAACTGTCCCCATCAGATAAACAGCACTTAAGGCTTTCATCTTCGAGAGAGGGGAGAAGATCAAGGTCCACTGATTGATTCAGACCTGAGAAAATCCACAGGTGTTTCTGTCCATCCTACCACTGTGAGAAGACAACACTATGAGTCTGAAAGGATGTGTATCTGTCAAGAAGCTCTTACTGAGAAAAGGAAACAGAAAAAAAGTCAAACAAAACTTGCAAATCAAAGAAGCTGCTGGTGTTCTCAGAACAATACACTGACCACCCCAACATCCAGTCCAGACCTCAACATCACTGAATGTGTTTGGGATTATTTGGATCACGATAAAATTCAAAAAACTTCTAAGACTGAACTTGAGGTTGGAAAAATATCCCTGCTGTTCCTTTGAGTAACTGAAAGTGAGTCTACTGAAAAGAATAGAAGCTATAAAAAAGGGAAAGAGTGGACACGCTCTTGAAAAGTTTGAGATATTTAGTTGTTAGTTATTTCTGTTTTTTCCTGACACTGAAAAAAGAAGACATTGTACTTAATGGCCGATTTAACTGAAAATTAGACTGAAATTGCAAAAGTAATAACATTAGTAGTAATAAAAAGTAAAATAAGCAACATAACAGAAGTTAAAAAATTAGTAATAAGTAATAAGCAAATGAAAATAAGGAAATCATGAAAAAAAAATGTAAAAATATGTCTTTAACTGCTTAATATGTACTGTGGTTGCTTCTCTAATTAATCTCTAATCAGTAAATAAGTCCATAAAAACAAACAGCTGTCTCTGCACATCTTGTTGTCTTAGAAAATTAGGCAGCACTGCAGTGCTAAGAACAACTGGGGGATGCAGACAATCCAAAATGTATGATGGTACTAGTCAATTTAATGCACTGCAAACCAATAGCAGCACTTTACAATCTATCTTAGAACAGATGAAGCCAGTACAATAACGCCAGAACTACTACACAGTCTTGACGATTACACACAAATGTTTTTATAGCTACCAAGAACAAACCACAGGACACTATTCAGAGTTCAGGTAGTGCTTTATTAAGTGTACTGTTACACAGTGTCTCTGGTGGTCAGCATAGTGGAGCATGTCATTCTTTACAGTGCAAACATGTTGACAGGGGATTAGAGAGTGGCCTGGGGCGATGCAGTTCATATAGATATGGTATGTGCTTATAGAGTCGTTAATGCCTCACTGCAAGGTGTGCCTTCAGTTGCAAACATGCACTGCGAACATAAATTTAGCCTACTGGAAATCACATACAAGTACTTTCCTATTTCACAGTTTCATCTGACGTCACATGAATACCATCCACATTCCTCTAACACTTTATTGCTTTGGCTACAATAT